TTCGTTTTAATTACTAGAATGAACAATTGGTTGATAACTTGTTATTACGGTATTACGTTGTACGGAGTACTATCTAAGTACATACAAGTATTTCTTTATAGCATCAACACATAGAGAAAAATTTAGAGGTGAATCATTGGGCAAGGAAAGGAGTTGCAAGACAAGGAACCTGCCCGGATTGGTTCTTGTTCTAGCTAATAAGTTTTTGTTCAATTTATTCACCCTCTTATTTATCTTGTACTTTTGTTTATTTGGCAAAAGACCGCCATTTAAAGTTTCAACTTTGAATGATGTAATGAGAATATAGCTAGACATTGTGTCTCTAGTACTATATAGGATAGTCATAACAACAACGATATATAGATTGAATGTGATTCCAAAACATTAATCCGTAAATTGTTAAGCTTGTTTACAATTTTATTACATTAAAAGGTAAAACTTTATACGTCATAGGTGTTTTGAGCATAATTAAGTCTTGTCTATTAGGAATGAATTGAACGCATTTTCATTTGAAAACTACATCAATTATAAGTCACCAAATATTATAATTAATGTTGATTTATGCTACAAATAATCATGAAATAAACTGCCAAAATGAAAGTTAATCTTGCCATCCTATCCAATCCTATAATTCTCCAAACTTTTAACCCTTAGCTACTTTTACATAAATAGATAATAAGATAACCAATGAATTATCACAACTTATCATCAATTTTCTTTTCAAATTTCATATATCCTGATTAGCACAAGCTTTTCTAGCTACCAAACAAAAAATAAAAAGGTAAAAAGATTATAAGTGCCTCGTTCATTTTCCCTCCTTAGCTTGTCTAAAGAATAAATGCATCACTTTTGTTTCTCAACCTTTAATTTGCCGACTTTTCAAAATTTGCAAAATAGGCTTGAGCAAACATCTTCATGATTTTTGAGGAGATATGTACACTTGTAGCACTTGGAAGTCTTAGGATTTATGCCACATCAAGAGGCAATAGGATTGGATGACAACAAATGTAGTTAACTAATTCGTACTCTATACATACTTCAATTTGAGTGTAAGTTTTAGGAAAATTTGTTACAAAGAACCTTTTATGTCCACCATTTTGTGAGAAAGGACCTTTTAAAAAAAAAAGTGACAAGAAGGGACCAAATATGTTTTTTTTTTTTTTTTTTTTTTTTTTTGGAGGAGGGACCTATGACCGAAAACCACCTTAGCCTCATCCCTTTCAAGGCAGCCTCCTCTTTCCTCCACCCCACCCCCACCGCATCCTTCTTCCCCCCCCCTTTCACGAAAAACTTTCTAACCTCATCCACTGCCAGCACCGACCTCGACATCCACCACCCCTTTCACGACAGCCCGCTCCTCCCCTTTCCCCATCTCCACTCCCTTTCCTCCACTTCAATTACTGTAAAAATTCATGCGATTTCCATCCTCCACCCTAACCCTAGAATTTAGGAATTTAGAAAATCGAGCAATGAGAGGGATAGAATCAAATTTCTGAATGAGTTAATGAAGGGTATGGAATTGGATGAGTTTGTGAAGAAATTGAGTTCAATTGAGTGAGTTCAGAAGTTTTGAAAGCAAATTGGATGTAAAATTGTGCAAAATTTGCAGAAATGAAGATCAATCTTCACGCAAAAGTAGAGAAATGAGAGGAGGAAATTAAAGAGGTCGAGGGAAAGACGGCGGGGATTGGAGGGTCGTCGGCATGGGGAGGCTTGGGCGCCAAGACACCGACAGCGGCAGGGGAGAGGGGGTGGGTGGGCTGTAGCCTACAGGGGAGGCTAGGGCTCTAGGCTATCTTAAAAGGAGAAGGGTTTTCGAGGTAGAGGAAGGGATTGTTGCCATGAAAGAGGTGGGGCTAGGGTGGTAAACGCCGGAGTTGGTGGGTCAAATCCTGCTTTCCGGGCAATGGTCCCTCCTCACAAATAAAAACTCATTTTTGGTCCTTCCTTGCCACTTTTTTTTTAAAAAGGTCCTTTAATTTCTCACAAAATAGTGGACATAAAAGGTCCTTTGTGACAAATTTTCCTAAGTTTTAAAGGAGGTTTAAGCCCTATAAGGTACATACGACCGAATTGTACTGTGTCGCTATACATACATCAATTATCGTTTGAAGTTCATTCTCTCTTTACCAAAAAAAAAAAAAAAAAACTAAACGGAGTAGTTTATTAAAAATAAAAAAATAAAAACAATTTTCTCTTTTATAACTTACAATATTCTACGGAGTACATTTTATTAGGTAGTTTATTACGTCATTTTTCTTATTAGCTACTTTTTCAGTACATTTGTGTTTCATTAAGTAGTTTCTAACAAAAAAAAAAAAAAAAAAAAAAGTAGTTTCTAACAAAAAAAAACCCTAAATAAATATAACTAATCACTTGTCATACAACTTGAGTGAGCATAACATAGTGAAGCACTCGTATTAATAAAAACATATACTTGAGCAAGTTATACAATAATTGTTCTTTGTTTATAATTCTAGAATGGTATGTTCACATAGTACTTAAACATACATATTAATAAAAACATATACTTAGTATTTTTTAAACTGTTATATTTTTGTTTTCATGTTTGTCAATTTATAATTTTAATCATCAATTAGTCAATCAATACTATATACTAAAAGACACACTAGCGATGACACGTGTCATCTCCTGGTGTGTCATTAGTTTTTTTTTTTCTTTTTTTTTACAAAATATTTTTAATTAAGGAAACAAATCATTTACAAAAATCATATGATTTTTTTGTACATATTCCATATTGACAAGTAATAATTATTATATTTAAAGCAAAATATTTATTCACAAATCTTTCTAAAAATAATTGGGCAATATACCAAAAATCAATATTTTTAAATAATTAGTGACCTATTTTACAAAAATAAAATAAAAAATAAACTAAAATAAAATAAAATAATATTGCTCAGATTTTTTTTCTACTTTGTTTTAGTTGTGTATTGGAAGCTATAATTAAAATTGCAAATATCAAATTAACATGTCATATACTTTTAGTATTTCATGACTAATTCATGATTATAGTATTTCTCAATCAAAAATATATAACTATATATAAAAATCACCGTGCATGGCTCGAGATCTAACCTAGCTATTTATAACTTCAATCACCAATAAGTAAAAGTTATCGGTGATTTTCGTTTTGAAAGTATATACTGTTCATTGAAGTAGTGAACCAAATCTAATAACAGTTACATAACTATATTTTTACTGAATTATATCATCAAAGTAAGCAAAGCATTTCCTCAAAAAAAAAAAAAAAAAAAAAAAAAAAAAAAAAAAAGTAACCAAAGCATGATGTATGAAATAGTGTAAAAAAAGATGCAACAAAATCTAAACCAAATTAAGAAGTACCATATGATATAAATAATACATATGGAGTCCTATCAACCTTTAATATGAGTGTCACTCCATTGACTGCCATTGGATTCTACACTCCATTGATAAATTTAGTGGAATAAAAGATAGGGCAGAAGTTTCCTTTCAAATAATTGGTTCAAGGTTGTATGGTCTGTAGCCTAAACCGCACGTCCACAAAATAGTGACTACTATAGTAGGATAATCTTTGTCGTAGCTAGAAGATTTAAAGACAATTAACTAGCTAGGTTTTCAATCTTATCATGAACTTAATTAGCCAGGTTAAGATGAGTTGGTCACCCTATTTTTTTCAAATTATTGCTTAGTTCTTGATTGTAATTGGTGAGTATTTGGTGATTGTAATTGATGCATAAGTGCACTTGATGAAGTGATAAGAGAGGGGAATGTAGGTAGGGGTCCCAAAGAACATTGCATGCACTTGCAAAATGGTCCGTACTATATTTTTCCGTTTTACCATCTATAGTATAAATCGATCAATAACATTTACTCATATCTCACTGTTTCAGAATTTTTTAAAAAAGTTTTTATATTAATATACAATATGACTATACAAGACACGAAAGGGCATTCCCTCCAAAAGTTACAAAATCTTCTTTATAAGGCTCCCTCGATTTAGTCCTTAAAGATACCAAATATTACATGTCTACGTACACTTTAAGCTGCTTCTCTTTCAATAAACTATTTATCGTACTTTAAGTTCTTCGTATTTAAAATGGAGCTAATAAATCATGGCCAATATCTTCCATTTTTTTCCCAAAGTTTTACTTTTTATATCGATGCATAAGAATTTTTTGTTATCTATTTGTATAGATGGATGAGGAAAGAAATAACAAACTTTTCTTAGTTAGAAAGTATGGAGTATTGATTTCATGTTAATGTCCTCAATTCTCTGTACATTTTTTTTATTCATTTCACAATACATTTCTTGCATTTCATTAATATAACGATGAAATTTATTTCACAAAGCACATTACTAATCAACTAGATAACATTAATTACTTGCACCAAATTAATTACCCGTAATTTAAAGACTTTAAACCTCATTACCCCCTACTCTAAGGATGAAAAGATGCCAACTAACTCAAATTATACTTAATGATGTGCCAGCATTATGCTCATATTAGGGAAATAGTTGACCTCAAAGATTATTAAAATTAATTAAGCTAACTAATTAATAAATTAATCTAGGCCTAGGGCAAACAATTAATTATTAATTAACAAAAAAAAGGGTATCATAGGAAAACAGATTTGGGTAGGAGGAATGATATGATGTCCTTGGAAAACCACAAGACAGGGAAGATCCCTTATTGGGGAGTTTATCAAAGAAGAAAAGGCTTGCTTTGGAGGCAAAGTGGGCAACATTACCATCTTTTTTTGAGAACTTCTATAATTCTGTTTAGGAGACAATTAGCCATATTTTGAGGGAAATTTTTAATTAAATTAATGTAACTATGTTTAATACTATAGACTTTAAAATTATAGTACATTCTTATTTAAGGGGTTATTATACACCAATTTAAGGAGACAAAGGAATTTCTTTTTAAGTTAATTAAGAAGACAATATACCTCATTATCCGGTTGTGGATAACTAGTGCTTGGTATATAAGAGAGACAAAAAGCACTTTGGGTTAATAAAGACAATAATTAATTATTTGTTAATTGTGTAATTAGATTTAGCAAAAGGCACACGAGTGAAGTGATTAATTCAATAAAGACAAAACGACTTTCTATGGAATCAAAATTGAGAAATCTTCAAGTTGTTGCCCTAATAGTCAATAGGGAATATTCTTAATTATTTTGACATACTTTTCATTTACAATATACTACTTTCATCCACCTAAATAAATAAACAAATAAATAAAAATTCAACAAATATACATCAACATAGGTAATTTATGGGGAAATTTTTTAATTTAGAATTAATAAAAAAAAAATACATAAGCAATGAAGAAATGGAGGATATGACTAATTAAAAAAAAATCTATATTAAATTAACTAACAATAATAATTGAGAAAAACCCTAGCTAAATTCAAGATGATCACAAATTCACAAGGCCAAGTTAGCTAACCTTTTTGTAATTTTGAGGTGATGATTACCCCATATATTAAGCCTATTTTAGAAAATCATATGGAATCTATATTTATCACCATTACCAAATAAAGTTTAAAATTAACAAAAATTGAAGAAAATATATGAAAGAAAAATGAGGGCCTAATTATTGCCAAGAAGATACAGAATAAAGAGGGCGATTTTTCCACCCAAGAAACAAACAATGTTTTTTAACAACCTGAAGTTGGTAACCTTCTGATGGATAATGAAGCCTAAGCAACAACTTAGCTTGTGACAACGAAAACGGACTCAAGGCTAGACTCTTGAACCCGGAACTCCGCATCACCATTTCCCACGACTCGAACCGTTGATGTCTATCCTTTCTCCTCTCCCCGTCCTCCCCCACGACGTCTTTTATCTCCTCCCCGAACCATGCTTCCTCGACTGCCACCCTCTCTCGACTTTGCGGAGGTAGGGTGGCCTCTAGGGAGTCAAACACGGCTCCGTAGTGATCCAATGCCTCTACAAACCTCCGCAAAAAGAGAGGGTGGTTATGATCAGCCTCTCGTTCTCCCAGGGTCAAGACCTTAGGGTTTAAGGTCTTGACCTTGTGGAGAAACCTCCTAAGGGAACGTGTATCGTATTCCCTTAGGAGGCGGTGGAGGTAGTCCCCACAATTAATTGCCAGGGCTTCTTCCACCTGATCAAACTTGAGGCGGTGATCCATCAAAGCATGGATCACCGCCTCAGAGTGATCAACTACTTCAGAATCATAAAGTACCAAATCACAAAACTCGAACTCAATCCCTAGGGATTCGGCAAATCTCCTAAGCCGGTCCCCAGTCCGGTCTAGGATAGTTGGATCACGGGCAGCCCCCGTGATCCGTATTGTAGGACACGACCGACCTAGGGTACTCGACCGCTCCATGATGGCTTGCAACAACGGAGGCCATTGAACGCCGTGCATGACATCCATGTCGAGGATATGGATCGATGCATAACCCTCCACGGCTTCGAGAATCGCTTGGTTGGCGGTCAAGTGGGTGAATCGGATAAACGGAGTAACTTGATTGAGAGAAAGATAAGATGAATATCTAGTTGTAACATCTTGTTCTACTATTCTAGAAGGTCTTGGAATTTGATTATTAGGTAATATTATTTGAGGAGATGGTGATGATGAAAAAATGGGACGTTGTTGATGATGAGCTAGTGTAACAGGAATATTAATACTAGGGTTCATAACACAAGTTGTAGTTGATAATAAATAACGATTGATACGCTCTCTTAAGGCTTTACAAAAATAATACACTAGCCTTTCAGTGGAGTCGCCAAATTGTAAGGCGAAATCAGTGGATATAAGGGAGAGTAGACGGTTAGCTGATAAGAACTCGGACCGAGATATAAGCTCAGCACAAGTGACCAACAACTGCCGTGGATGAATCACTGATGATTGTGGTGATGTTGATAACAACGTTGGCGGTGTCGAAGATAATACAACCGAAGATGATGAAGGAAGAAGAGCAGCAGAAGTAGTAGTAGTAATATTACTACTACTACTAATCAGCAAGCGTTGATAATCTAATAGCCTTAGTGGTGGTCGCGGTTGTGGTTGTGGTTGAGGTTGAAATTGAGGTTGAGGTAGATCCAACGGTGAAGATCGTTCGTGATCTCGATCTTCCTCAGAGCTATATGAGGAAGATCCTAGCATATTATGAATAACAATGGAGAATGTATGAAAGATGAACTCAAAAGCCCTAGAACACTTATTTTTTATTTTTGAGCTGAGGAAGGGTGTGACACAAAAAGCAAGGTAAATGTAAAAAGGAAGGCAAAAGATAAGATGCTAATACTACCAAGCTAGTACAAATATAATAAATGCAAGAAGAAAGGAGTAAATATCTTAGAACAAGTAGTATAAGAAAATAAATGCAAAAGAGAAAGATGTAAGTTAGTCCAAAAATAATTATAAAACCTAAGAGAACAATGAAATAGCAAAAGGAATAATAGAGAGTTATTGTTGGGTAGGGGTAGTAGTAGCTTAGCTTAGGGTAGGTGCGCCTGAAGATGATGATATGGCAGAAAGAGGAGAATGAAGAGAGCAAGTAAAGCAGCTCATACAAGTTTTGGTTTCCTTTCTTTTTTACGCTTAATTTCAGTTCAGTTCATTCCTAATCAGTTCAATTCATGTTCTAATTTTCTTCTCTTATACCCAATTTATTTCATCTCTATTCAGTTCAGTTCAACCCCAATCAGTTTACTTCAGTTGTTTTCAGTAAATCGGAACAAGTCATAATTGAAGAAAAAGGGTGACCAAGTGATTACTCTGTTTTTTCTTTTTTTAAATGTATTAGTTTGATGCGGTAGAGTTTTAAGTGATTGAGTTGTATTTGTTAAAAATAAGTGTTATTGTGATTTACTTAAGAATTAGAAATTATAAAAAACAAAAATGGTTTGTAAATAATTAATCAGAAATAAGAGATAAATGTGAGATACTCCTAAGAGAATATAATAATTAAAAGTATGAGGAACATAGGAGAAGAGAGAAATCAAGTAGTGTAGCTGGATCATTTTCATTTAGAAGAATGTTGCACTAACAAAATACAAACAATTAAGTTAAGTGTTGCATAAAAAGTGTGTTATACAATTTTTAAAAAATGATACAATATTTGTAGCGTGTATTTTGAGCGGTTGGTCTTATCGTTTGACCGCCGCTTGTAAAAACGGAGTGAGTTTATAACACTAATAAAGTAATAACGCTTAGTTATATATACTATTTGAGTAGACCTTAAACAACAAAGTAATTCTTACAAAACTCATAAAATAACCTCTTTATTAATAATTAAGTAATCCCTATAATTGTAACAATTAGGTAGTTAACTTCTATAATAGTAGTCAATAACCCCTACAAATCTATAACATTAACCGAGTAATTCCAGGATCGCTATTGGCTAAGCACACGACACAGTCAGTCACATTCACATAAGCTAGTGTAATGCTTAAAAATGTGTCGTACAAAATATGGGTGGATTTAGGGATCAGTATATTTGCTTTATTTGTTTATTTAATGGTCTGATAGCTTCACTTACTACCATCTCTCGCACGGTCACATCGTTTGGTACCTGAGACATACATGTCCCTATGCCCGCACCTATATATGCCCTACTATCACTACTACATAGTACAACAACACCCTCTATCTATTCCTTTGCTAATTTATGCCTTTTTTCATTTCTATGATTTCGGCTATGTTGCTAGCTTAGCTTGTTAGTACCATTTGTTTTAGTGAAATTCATTTCATCCAAATATATAACTCTAATTATTGTGTTCGCGCCGAAATAACTAATCACGTTGATAATGTTTTTTTTATTAATTATTGTTAAATAATTTAGACACGTTATGTATGTATAAGTTTAGTCATAGAATTATCAAACACTTTTAAGATTAGATAGCATTTTGGATTGAACAATACTCCTCTAACATAATGATAGATGTTTGTAAGAGAAAAGAATTTTGTAGAGTCCTAAAGATAAATGAAGTTAATTGTCAAGGGGATTATATTAAGTTATCGAAGAGGAGACATTAACTATATTCTAATAAAATTGTATCAACATGAAATTATAGAATTAATTAACTTTTCATTTGACTTTATTAAGTTTTTAAGAAATTAAAAAATAACTACTACCCCCGTTACATATTATTTGCAACGATTTTTCCTCTCTACTTTATGTCAAATCGTTGCAAATAATATGTAACGGGATAGTATTATTTTCTCTCGGGAATTTTTTTGTTGAGTTATAACTTTGAATTTTGGGAATCCTGTTTAAACTACTCACTAGTACTTTGGATTAGTCTAATAAGTTCTCAAATTTATTGATTTATATTTTTTTTTATTAATTGATCCTAAGTGACTTAAGACCTACTACATCCGTTTTTTTATTATTTGTAACATATAAGTATTATTTGTGAGATACACAATATTTCTTTATTGCAAATAATAAGGAATGAAGGTATTATATAAATAATCTTTGAATTTGACGTGACACTCTCCTTTCTATTTATCCTCTTTGCTTTTCTATTACTTTCCCTCCACTAAGAAACATCCTTAGCTTATTTTTGGGTGACGAGAGGAGAATGAATTTAGATACGTAGTATAAAAAAATATATTAAGTTGGATGTCAATATGTCATCACCATTGCAAAAAGGAATAGAAAGTCATAACTTACACAATGCATTTCTGATAAGAGTGTTGCTAGAGTTGGTGTTTGACTGTTTGTCATAATAACTAACATTTAATGTAGGAAAATCTTCTCTAAAAACATACACAAACAAAACTTGGATTATTTACTCTAGATATTAAAGAAGAAAAAAAATCAATGTGAATATAGGGTGTTGCAAAAATATTTTTTATATGTTCCATAAAGATCGATTTTGATTTTTGTTGTTGTTGTTGTTGTTTGGAAGATAACTTATTGACACAAAATTAGTTCTAAAGTGACCGACATGAGCTTATTAACTAGTATTATACGAAGTACTCTAAGCTAATTTGGAGTGTTTGATGGGAAGCGACGGATTCGAAAAACTAATGAATAAGGTATTTTTTCAAAAAATTAGTTTATACAACATCTTAAAGCAAAATTACACTTATACCCTCATTAAATCTACAATCATATCTCAATTATCTAAGCTACCCCAAATTTAGCTTATCGTACCTCAACTCTTACAGTTTTCTTGGTCTAGCATGTACGGATTAGACACTTTGCAAGTGAGGGCTTGAGGCGGAAAGATAAGGGATTCCCACTGTACTTTTTAAATGCCTCTAATAGAGATTAAACCCCCAACCTTAAGGTTAAAAGGTGCAATCATTGCCACTAGACCAAGCTTAGCTTAATGGATATTTCTTTGAGCTTGCCCCATATCATAATTCATAAGGAAATACAAAGTAACACTATTTTACTCTCACAAACTGTTAAAACCCATTGTAGGCTTGTAACCCACTTATTAGTGTTCTACGTTGGAAACAAGTAGAGAGATGGTTTCACATAAAGGATTTACTCTATATTGCCAATTGATTTTAAATGAAAGCTCCTTTTAACCTTGCTTGTGGACCGAAATCTCCTCTTTCTTATTTAGGTAGTTTAGACCCATTTCATATTGTTACAAAAGTTAACATAAAATTTATATCGAGTCCCACCAATTTTCTCTGTTGTTAACCCACATGGCTCAAGTTTGGATTATTGTTGGATACGGAGTACATGGGATAGCGTATCTTCAGCTGTGGCCTCTGCACATCATTTATAGAGAGAGAGAGCGAGAGATAAGGGCCTCCAGAATATCCCCAGCCACACACAATTATAGAAAAGCTCAGAGTAGAGAGAGAACATTACATAAACTGCATACTGCATGATAGAGAAAAAGAATCAGCACGCTAAACAAACAGTGCTTTTGATTGCTTGTTGATTGCCATTTTGCTCAAACTGTGCACAAAAAAAAAGTTAGTCATCGCATTAAATTCACCAAATTTAGTTGTCCTCAATTCAAATCAGTACATATGAAGCTCAACTGCTCAAGTTTCTAGCTATGATAAATGTGGTTCATCACAGCCCTCTACCAACTCAAAGATACCTCCTAATTCTTCCCTTGGACTGCTTCATGTGTCTTCGGAATACCATATTACACACATACGAGTATATTTTTGTGATGAGCAAAACACGTTCACTAGGGCGGTGTATTTAGGCAAAACTCGTCGAAGTACATGTATTAGAAAAACATCCAACAAAATGACATGAGTCACAAATTGAAAAGGGTTCATCCTCAATATGTTCATGTCAATAAGAACATACCATTCATAATAATTTAAATTTGGAAAAATTACATACTATAGACTACAGAGTACATAGATAGATTTATGTATATTCATAATTATAAGCAAATTTGAGAGTGAGGGATAGCTCAAGTGGTTAGAGCTTCCCTCCCGATTCCAGGAGATCTTGGGATCGATTCTCACTAACTGTTATCTATGGAAGACAGGCAAACATCTACATTTTACACACACTCTAGGGTAACAACTAGCAATACCGCGTTTCTTGCAGGATACTCCCTTCGGAAGATATATTATTTGCAAGTCCTTAGTGAGAACATCTTTGGACTGGTTTGAGATAAAAAATGTGTGCATTTGGAATTTTGGACCCTCATATTCCTTGGCTTTCGGCACAATCCATATCAGCATATCACCTATTTTACCCTTTTCCCAAAGAAACATCACACAAATTGTCACTTGCTGCACCTCTCCAAGCAAATATTTAAGTACGAACAACACAATTTAAGCTCTTCCCTTTCCACATTAATGAAAGATGCAAAATGAGCTGAATGATATGATCACAAGAGCATACTTGAGCATGAGATGGCGAAAAAAAAGACCCAGCTTCCAGCAATGCCTAGTGAGATTAGCTAACTGAATAAAGAAACTAAAGCGAAAAAATTAGTATTCCCACTTAAATTTAAGAGCAGAAAAAGCCCAGGACCAAATCATTCTCATTGAGATGGCAATGTTAACAGGTACCCTGCACTCATGCGCGTTCAGTAAATCCATGTCCCACAAATTAATTATGGCTGCAAGTGAAACCTTATCAAACAGAAGTACAGTAAAGCTTACCATTGTAGCAGCCCACAGGTGAATCCTTGTTCTTTCACTCAGAAGACACTTCTACCTGGTGTGGCAGCACATGAGCTCCAAGGGGAAGAATTTGATAAATAATTCATAATTAGCCCAAATACGAACCAGTTCACGCACAAAAAATCTAACTTTAGGTAACAGTGGGATGGTCATGCAGAATAGCATAATCAACGTCTTTTGTCCCAATCTTTTAAACTCGAGAGGCAACTTGTTCTCGACAAACATACAGTGAAGAGGTAGCAAAAGGAGGGAAATGGCAATTAAATACTTGTCTAACATCAAAGTTAGTTCATACCAGATTACCAGGCCTTTAATGCATCAGTATGACCGCACATGGCGCACAATAACATTTCATCACCTTAAAGGACTAACAACCCAACCAGTGATTGGATTTTGCTTGCGAATCCTGCTGGTCCGGTGTGAACCACTTTGCAGCCTCTCCAGAATAGCGTAAGTTATGAAATCAGGAGTCAAACCCTGTTCCTTAAGTTTAGCATACAAATCTACTGCTTCAGCAGTTTTCCCACTCCGCTCAAAACAATCAAGTAGGATATTATATGTAACAATATTAGGACTGCATCCTTGAGCAACCATATCATCAAACATCCTGCTAGCCATCTCCACTTTGTCAGTCTTACCAAAGCATTCAATGAGTGTGCTATAAGTAACTACATCAGGATTCAATCCCTTCTCTACCATCTCTCTGAATCTCATGTGAGCTTCGTCAAGATCACCATTCTTTCCCAAACAATTAATCAAAGAATTGTATGAAACAATATCAGGTTTAAAATCACTATCCTCAAGCTGCTCAAATATTTTAACTGCTTCATCAACTTTCCCTACCCTACCAAAACTAGATATCAAAATATTATAAGAAAAGATATCTGGTGGAGGTCCATCCCTTTTCATCTTCTCAAAGAGATCATGAAGATGGCTTATCTGCTTTGACCTGCCAAGAGCCGACAATACTGTGTTATACATCATAATATCAGTGTCTATCCCCTTCTCATGAATCTTGTCCAAAAGATCAATGGCCTCCACTGTTTTGCCTGCAGTACATAAACTTTCTATCATGGACATGCAAGCATCCCTGTCTCCTTTATCATGAACAGCCCACATATTACAAAATAGACGATGGGCTTCACTTGCATGCCCCAACTTGCTGAGAGTCCTCACAAGATAGGCATACATTGACTTAGTTATATATTTATTTGATAACTCCACAACTTCATCTAGTTTACCAAGTTGTCCTTCTGCAACGAGAACAGTCAGAATCAAACTGTATGTAAACTCATTGGGGCGACAATTGCTTTCTATCATCTTTGAGAAGAGAAAAATTGTCTTCTCAGCCATTCGATTCTTAACAAGTGCCTCAATCATCGTATTATATGCCATTAAATTAGGGGCTAAACCCTTCCCTAGCATTTCCTGGAATAATGCTAAGGATTCATCAGGCTTCCCCATCTTACCAGTCATTCTAACCATGATGGTGTACGTATATTCATCAGGTTCACAAATCTTCCTCTTCATGTCCTCAAAAACCATGTAGGCCTGATCAACCTATAGAAAACTGTATATCAGATCATTAGGATTTACGCATGAGATGGGCGGAAGACAGGTATGCACTTTCAAAAGAGATTAGATATTGAAAGTAACTAGCAGCTCCATCCATGCACAGACAGTTAAACAAAAGACAGAAGAAATTTCATGATTTCTTATGCAAAAAGCAGGAAGGCTGGAAGGGACAGCCACTACACATACTTAGATAGCCAAAGAAAAAGGAGATCTGGTGCTAGACATACAGACTCAATTTTTCACAAGCAGAACTTTACATGTCCACTGCATATTATGAGCAATAAAGATTCAAGAGCCATCACAGGCCCAAATTGACAGAAACTAATCACCTACAAAAGCAAACATCAGTCACTAAAAATACTTTTATTTCTGTGATGCATAGATAGCAACATGCAGCAATTCAACCACTTACAAAGACATAAAATTAGCTTATAATTTTGAAGTTATGTGAGTACAATTTAATGAGATGCTACTTGTTTTAAGCTCAAGCATAAGATCTGAAGCTTTTGTCGAAAAAGAAATCAGAGAGTACTTCAGAACGTTGAAAGAGACTCTTAACACATTTGAGTACTGCATTCCATATACCGCTGATGTACAAGTGCAATATTCATCAGTATGAAAAAAATTCAAGTAGAAGCCAAACCTCCACCCCCCCCCCCCCTTCTCTTCCCTTTCACTCTATATATAGCTCCTAAAAAAAAAGTAGCCGGCACAGCAACTATTAATAAATTGTCTATTGTCGGAACAGCTAGAAATTCAATAGCAAGTGTTTGTCTAATTCTGAAAGAATATTACCAGATCCAGGTTTCCTTTAAGCCAATATAGTCCTTACAAGCAGAACATAAGCATAAATTATCAATGTATTGCACAGAATTAATAGCAGGGAGCATGAAAGAGATCAAAAGAATGTAGAAAGACCTTAAAACTGTTGTCAAACTTTGCAAATTACACCCAATATGGAAGCAGAATTTTGATAAAGCAAACACTGAAACAAGAAGCAAACAAAGAGCAGCATGCAGTGAATTCTCCCATGTCATGACACCAACTCTATATAATAATCAGGCACTCAAACTACCACACATATATAAGCATGCACATATAAAGCTCAAAGCTTTTGCATCAGATACATACATTGATACATATAGACTTCCTCCAAAACAAATGTACCATATGATTTCAATAGTCTAGTCCCACAATGTAGAGCTAATAACATAACACGCAGTAAACCATAAAAGCATTCATATGTAACATACATCATTACATATTACTTATCAATATTCATAAACAATTCCACGTTTGCCAAACTAGATTAATGCCACAATCTGACATACTACCTCCGTTAACATTTACTTGCAACTTTGGGGTATTATTTGAGAGACATAAAATATTCCAAAGTTGCAAGTAAATGTTAACGGAGGTAGAATATTAGATTTATATCAACGAGTAACCATCAAAACTTTATCTTTCACTCATGGCATTAACCCACGAGGCCACGAATCCAAATTAACCAGCTAAGTTACTCCTTCACCTCTTCAAGTACTAAGCTAAATTTACCTTATGCTAGCTCAAACTTATGTATGTGTACATGAATAACCCAAAAACAATTATCAACCTTGAATTAGAAAAAACAAAGTATTAACATTAAATCAACAAAAAAAAAATAAAAAAAATCCAAATTGTAATTTACCTTATTGATCTTAGCAAGAGCATGCAAGAGCATATTATAACCAACAACATCAAGCGTATACCCTTTCCTCCTCATCAACTTAAAAACCTCGAACGCCTTTTCAGTTTCATACGACCTCAAATAGGCCTGCAAAATACACTTATAAGTATACGAATTCAACTGCAAACCCCATTTCTTCACCAACCCTAAACACCAATCAACACCCGGAGCACCCAAAACCCCAATCAAAATATTCACAGTCGAAATATTCCCATAAACCCCATCCCTCTCCATCTCCGCCACCGCTTCACGGCATTTCTCAACCCAATCAGACCCACCACACGACGCCGCAATCGACAAAATGTGAAGCAACCGATTGTAAGAGAAGGTGTCATGGCGGAAATTGGGAAAAAAAGAGGGGCAAAAATGGAAGAATTTGAGGGATAGATGAGGGGAATTGTTGAGGGATTTGAGGATTAAGGAGGCTTCGGAAGGAGTTAGGGTTAGGGTTAGGGTTTGAAGGTAATTGGAGAGGTCGGAAAAGGGGTCGGAAATTGGGGATTTGAGGATTTGGGTGATTTTGCAGATTAGGTCGCGGCGAGGAAGAGGGAAGCCGCGGGCGTCGGAGGGGAGAGAAGGAGAGTGGACTTCGGCGGAGAGTGTGCGGCCGTCGGTGGTTGTTGAGGTTATTTTTGCGGTGTATTTGGTGGCGTAGTGCCGGAGTTGACGGTGGTGGTGGAAGTGAAGAGGGAGCTTCATGTTTTGGAATGAGTAAATTTTCAAATAGGGAAAACGAATAGACTATACCCCCGTCGAGCGGTAAATCACACTCCCTAGTCCCTACTATAACTTCAACTTCAACTTCAACTTCAACTTAAGTCGTATTTACTATCTAGGGTATATTCTATTTAGCTTAATTTTAATTTAATTCTGCTCAGTTTAGTTTAGTTTTAAATTTTCAATTAGTTGGTTTAGCTTCAATCAATTTTGTTTAGTTCAGTTCAATTCGATTAAGTTCATTTCCTAATTTCCTTTTCTCATAAAGTCATAATCATATTATTATGAATATAATAAGACACCCTTTATATATTTTTCCTTTATAAATTATCGTACACATAACATCAATGTTTGATTAAATCAGACAATCAGATTAGACCAGATAAACAAAAATAATGTGAGCTCAACATACCCTTAAATTATTTTTACTTAAGTAATTTTTTTTACTGGTTCCCTATTATATATTTCTCAGTTCAGTCCAGTTCCTAATTTTCCTCTCTCATAAAATATAAATTTCAGCTTAGTTCAGTTCAATTAAGTTCGGTTCAGTTCAGCTCCAATCAGTTCAGTTCAATTTAGTTCAGCTCCAATCAGTTCAGTTCAGTAAATGTGAATTGGCCCTTAGTGTAGTTGTAAAAACAAATTTTAAATCTGTAAAATATAGATTCAAAACAAATGCAACAAGGTGTTATTTTTATTAATTTGATAATTTTGGATACAATCTCTAATTTGATCCTCTATTCGATCTCCACTTTGAATTTGACGTAATTCACGAATTAACTTGATTCTCGAACGAGGGTCGTCGAGGCTTGATCTCGATCGAAGATTTGATGCAGAATTTAGACTTATTGTTGATGTAGACCTTTGACTTGTTGTTGATGTAAACCTTTGACTTGAATTCTTGATTGAGGGCCGACGAGGCTTGATCTCGATCAATGACCATTTTATGTAGAGGTTGAACTGGTTTTCGTTAGAGTATTTGATGAGAGATTTTCTCTGTATTTTGATTTTCTCTGTTTTTCTCTGTAGGTTTTTCTCTCCCCCAAATGAAATAGAGAGAGCTCTATTTATAGAGTGTGTGACACCTAGGGTTAGGGTTAAATGTACATTGGAATTGGGCCTGCTTTGATTATTATAACCTATTTTTAATGGGTTTTTACTATTAAATAATTAATAACCAAGTTTAATTAAAATAACTAAATGGGCTAATCTGATTTATTCACCCAATTTAATTATCTTTAATTAATAGTCAAATTAGCATCAAATCAACAAATTGACTTTGGACCCATATAATATCCAACGTGGCACTTATGTAAAATTTACGTGCCTATAGTAGTCTTATATAATTTGATCTAATTCAAACGTCTGTTTTTTTAATTTTATTTTTATTATTATATACGAAGTATATAACTTGACTAAATTTTTATATACTCTAAACTATAAATAAAAGATGAGAGTGAGGGATAGATGCATTGGTTAGTTTTTCTCTCCGATTCTAGAAGAAAGTTTGTTTAGATTTTAATTATTATATTAAAAAAATATTACTTGACTTATTTCTTTTATTTGATCCCACATAACCTCTCTTTATTAATAAAATGTTGTTATATTTTTAATAATCAATAAAGCATATTAACACTCATATAATACGGTATATACTTAGGATTATTATAAAACCAAATAATTATATACTTAGGATTATTATAAAACCAAATAATTTTAATTTTACAAAATTAATTAACATAAGTACATAACCTACTTGCACAATTATCCATCTCTAATATATTATCAACAAGTGTAATTCAGGTGTTGCATCAGGTTGCAACTTTAAGCATGATATATGGTTGAAAAAGAAAAACATACAAAGAGAAGTATACCTCTTAGGGCTCTCACTATTGTGGAATGATAAGTGTGATCTTATATACATGAGGTTCATTGTTTGACATAGAACGTACCTTTTAATTTTGCATTTTATGAAGAGTTTAAAGGGGAATCTAGCATACGCAATTGCACATTAATTTAGTTATGAACGCGTGCGACGTGCTCCCATGCAGTTAATGACCGTATATTTTGTCTATGTGACAAATGTGAGGCTCAATTCTATCAAAGCAAATTTGACTTAAAATTATTCTGGCAATATGTAAATAATAACAAGGATAAACTACACCCTAATTCCATCCTCACATTTAGAGGAAGAGGCCAAACTTTTGTCATTGTCTAACTCAAATACAATTATCTTCATCGTTTTTGTCATCTCCTATCAATTTCATTTTCTTAAATGATATCTTATTTTGATACAATGTTTTCCTCACATGATATTTTGTTAAATTAAATTATTTTTACTAAAATTAATTTGTTTTCACTAGTTGCTATTGTATTTATACATTGAAGTTAATAATTTTTACAAAATTAAACTTATTCTTGCTTAGTTTAAATTATAATCACTGTACATTATATTTTTAAGGTGAAAAAAAAAAACCATAACACTATGTTTATATGGAGGGAAATGGAGGGAAAGGAAGAGAAGAGAAAAGAAAAGAAGAGATGCATCATCCTTTGTTTGTATACCTAAGGGCAAGGAGGGAAGATGAGAGAATTGAAAGGATTCATTTTACTTGCCTTTTATAAACCAAATCCCTTCATTGTTAGAAAGATTTGGAAGGAAAATTATGATTCATCTTCTCTCCCCTCACCTTCTTTTCCATTCCCTCCTTTTCTTTTCCCTCCCTTTTCCTTCACTATTATTATCCAAACATAGTGTAAACGAATGAAGATAAAAACAATTCCTTGATAAAGTTTCTCCTCACAAAGTCAAAACCCAAAATTAAGGGGCTGTTCTAATTTACTGACATGAGCTAAACTGAATTGTTTAAGAGATCGAGAAGAAAAATTAGAAACTAAACTGAACTGAAATTAAGTTGAAGAGAAAAGACCCTAAACCCTTTGTGTACTTTTATCCAATTTTAAGTAAGTTAATCAAATAATTTTAGTAAAACATTTAGGGAACTCACTTTATGACTTTGACAACTCAAAACTACGGGCCTGTTCTAATTAACTGAACTGAACTGAAATGAATATTTTATAAGAGAAGAAAATTAGGAGCTGAACTGAATTGAGCTGAATTTCAGAGGGTGTTTGATATTAAAATTTGTAACATAGGAAACGTAAACAAATAAGTGTTTCCGTTTCTATTAGTTTGGTATGAGCTATAAGTAACAAATACCGTTTCCAAAGGGTAACAAAATCCCCCAAATTGTTACCCTTATCCAACTAGTGGAAACAAAATGTGTTTCCCTCCTCAATCATAAACTGCTCAATTTGTTTCCATTTTATAAAGATACCAAACATATATCAAATGTAACGTGTATCATTACCCTTTCCCTTACTTATATAAATCCTTTCCCTTCCGTTTACTAAATTTATACCAAACGCCCTCTCAATGTATAAGAACATACCCTACATTTATTAGGAATTTGGGAGACATCCTAATCTATCTCTATACACTCGAGTGCTAGACTAACTTAACTGGAAAAGATGCCGCTGTGCCGGGTTGGTTTTTATGTACACCATAGTCCGTACTGGATAACTCATCCCATGAGACATGATCCCACCCCATGTTTATTTATTCTTGTTAGGAGGCGTTTGGTTCGTAGAGTGGTATAGGTTTGGAATCAGGAATAAGGTTAAGGTGGTATTGGGTTGGAACTTGATATTTAATACCATGTGTTTGGTTAAATTCTGGAATGAAATATCATCCCCTTAATTTCATGTATTTGATACCTAAGGGAATGGAATGAGCCAAACCCACCCCCCAAGGTTTCTAAACCCCATACCTTATGGGTTTGAGGTATGGGTTTAAAAATCATATTTTTGACAACCAAACATATAGTATGAGTTTTTATTATTCTAAACTCATACCTCATGCCTATAATCCGCGAACCAAACACCCCATCAAATAATCCAAATGAAAAAAAAATAAAAAAAATGAAAAACCAAGTGTCAAAAAGACCAAAACCGTTTGTGCTCCCCTGGTTTATTTGAGTCACCTTTATTCCTCCCCTTTCTTCTCTCTTACTTCTTCTTCCTCTTCTTCTTCTACTACCAAACTTCACATACATCACTCTTCCTTTTCTCCACCCTTCTCATTTCTCCGGCACACCGCTTTCTCTCTCCTCACCACCACCCGCCACCTGTCCACCTTCTCCACCGTCTGATCTTCCCTTACTCTGCACCTTACTGTACTAGATCAAATCCCAATCACAATCACACTTCCAATTTCTTGGGTTTTTCTATGCTATGGAATCCTCCAATACTTCCGGTGCACCCTCAAATCCCACCGTTGGATCTTCCAACAATGGCGTGATTAGTTTCGACGGCTGTGATTCTTCGACACATCTCATGCCCAAGATTGTTCAAGGACAGTGTGGGTTTGTTCTTGAAGATGTTCCTCATTTGTGTGATTACCTCTCTAATCTCCCTGTAATTACCTTCTCTTTCTTTTTATTTATTTATTTAATTTTAATTTTAATTATTAATAATTATTATTATTAACTCATTGCATATTTTTTGTTTAATTTTTGTTAATAAATAATACTCCGTAATTTGTTTCAAAAAAATAAAAATAAAAATAATACTCCGTAATTTGTTTTTGCTAAATATGGGGGTCCGGATATTTTGCAAATGGGTCCAATCCATTATTACTAAAAAGTCAATGCAAAAAGTTGTATTATGAATTATGGACATTTAATGTTATACTAGGTTTAATTTTTGTTGTATGTCGTTTTCAAGAAAAAGGATGATATTGGACAATTTTGTTGGAATAATTTTAAGTATTTTCAATTTATCAATTTAGCATATTGTTACATAGCTAATATTATTGGTAATATTTGATCAAATATGCATACATTTGTTTTGTGAAAAAAATTATATAAGCTACAATTATTATAGAAATTAAATTCGCCGAGTTTATTATTGTTTTGGGTAGTTAATGAACTCTGTATAATTTTGCTATGAAAACTTAAGTGTGTATTATTATTTTGGAATTCTTTAGTGGTTGTTATGGAGTAGTAGTATGTTTTCGCTACAAAAATCAAAAGGAGGGAGCAATTTATTTTAGTGAGTGCAATATACTAGTACGTATTATTTGGTTTTTGTTGATTTTGTGACAATTTGATGGTTGGGTTTTGCAGACCTATCATAATCCGTTGCAAGACAATCCCTCATATTCTGTTGTCAAGTAAAGTTTTCTAAGCATAACTTGTTTATTTCATTTTGTAAATGTGATTTTTGAACATGCTATGGTTTTTGGTAATTTGCTAAATTTTAATTTTTCTTGTTTATAGGCGGCATTTCGTAAATGAAGAAGATACAGTCGCTCAGACGGTAATGGATTATACCCTCTTTTTGTTGCTTGAATTGTATAATGTAGTGAATGATTAGTACCATTTATGTTGTTGAATTTGAAGAATGCATATTATTCTTATATATTTTTTATTGGATTGTGAGAAACTTATCTTTGTAGTCTAATGTACATTTGATTTAGATGGCTGTTTTTTTTTTTTTTTGAAAATATTAAATTCCAAATAATTTGAGAATTGACATCTGCCAAACCTATTTTGTAGAAATTGTTGAAAAATAGGAAAGGAAATTCGAACTTAATCTGATGAAATTTTAGTCTCCCTAAATATTATAAATGTAATTTGGAATAAAATAATTCCTAATACATTCTGATATAGTTGAATCATGTCTGAAATGATCCGTGTTTCTGAATTTTGATGGTTTTTTTTTTTTTTTTTTTAGATTGTTGTTCATGAAGATAGTCCAAGAGGGATACATTTTAGGCGTGCTGGACCTCAGCAGAGGGTAATGAACATTTCCTGTTCTCCTGGTTTATATTTTGTTTTATATAATCTGTTCTTTATTGGTGTTGTTTTCTAATTATGTATTTTGAACTTTGTTGTGTCACAGGTGTATTTTGAAGCTGATGAAGTGCAAGCTTGCATTGTGACATGTGGTGGTCTATGTCCTGGTTTGAACACAGTTGTCCGAGAATTAGTATGTGGTTTATACCATATGTATGGCATCACTAGAGTACTTGGTATTGAGGTAAGTCCTCATGTTTTATAATTTTTCATCTCCCTTTAATAAAAGTGCTGCGATTCCACTAAAAATAGTTCCTAGCCCTTTCTGAGAAATGAGGTTCTGTTTAAATATGCAATAATATATCTAATTCAATGTTCACTGTATGTTTTCTGTTTCTGAGAATGTCTTAGGATTTTTTCATTAATTAGTTCTAACAATTTCTGATGCACGCAAGTTCAGAGTCATATTTGATCGCGAATTGGACTTTTGTCTTACATGAGTGTTTTTTGATGCATGCAGGGAGGCTATAGAGGTTTCTATGCTCGAAATACTGTATCATTAACTCCCAAATCTGTAAACGACATCCACAAACGTGGTGGAACAGTCCTTGGTACTTCACGAGGAGGCCATGATACCATAAAGATAGTTGACAGCATAGAGGATCGAGGGATTAATCAGGTACACACTAGTACATACTTCACAATGTAGCATGTTTCGTACCTTTAATGATATGAGATTTGTTACTTCTCTGTTACAGGTATACATAATTGGAGGTGATGGTACTCAAAGAGGGGCATCTGTGATTTATGAGGTATAGCAATTTGTCAATATCTGCTTTTTAAAGCTCACAGACTTATGGACAGCAACTCTCATTGCTCTTAGCTCTTCTGATCAAATCTTTCAGGAAGTCAGAAGACGAGGACTAAAAGTTTCTGTTATTGGGATTCCCAAGACCATAGACAATGATATTCCGGTATTTACATATTTCATTCTTTTGTTGTGTGCTTGGAAGTGTGTTTTCTATTTAAAATTTTAGATTCAGCTGCGAGAGTTGCTGACTTTCATTCATCATTTCAGGTTATAGACAAGTCCTTTGGTTTTGACACTGCTGTGGAGGAGGCGCAAAGAGCAATTGATGCAGCACATGTGGAAGCTATGAGTGCGGAACATGGTGTGGGTGTTGTTAAGCTAATGGGGCGTGATTGTGGTAAATTTCTGGCTTCCCTATCTTACTGACTAATGACAAATGAACATTTTATATTTCACTAGTTTATGTTGATTTACTTTATTGTTGGGTGGGCTGATAAGAATTGCCCAGGCCTTCTTCAATTAGAAGATTTAGATCAAGGTCATGAGAGACCTTTAAAAGAGTTAAGAGTATATATAATGTAAATGCTATGTTTAAGATATTCACCTCCCCAAATTTCAATTAAGTTTCAAATAAATATTTATGCATCTTGGTAACTTTGGAAAGCTTGGAACCTACCCCTGTTCATATTTTCGTCTTTTTACCAATTCAAATACGAGTAGTTAATAGCTTGGTTAGTATTTTTAGAAGGGGTGGATGTTGACTTTCTTAAGTCGTGACTAACTATTGTGCAGAATCTACATAAGTATATTGGTTGCCTCTAGATTTTCTTCCATAAAAAGTACCAAGCAAGGCTGTATCTATATTCTTATATGCTGCTGGTGGATAGGAACGAGTATTGACATAATGACGATAGTGTGACTGTTATGTCAGTAACTAATTTTAGATTGTTGGGCAGTTCTTTTACTCAATTATTCTGTTACTCTACAATTAAACACGGATTTGATCAACTTGTGCAGGATTTATAGCTCTGTATGCAACTCTTGCCAGCCGAGATGTGGACTGTTGCTTGATCCCAGAATCACCATTTTATCTTGAAGGACCTGGTGGACTCTTTGAATATATGGAGAAAAGGCTCAAAGAAAATGGGCATATGGTCATTGTCATAGCTGAGGGTGCAGGACAGAATCTTCTTTCAGAATGCATGCCTAATACGGATGCAAAGGATGCCTCAGGGAACAAGCTGTACCAAGATGTTGGATTCTGGATATCACAGAAAATAAAGGTTGGCATTGTTGATTATAGTATCTTAACTCTTTGGGATGTATAGGTGCGTGATTATAGGCTACATTATCTCATAGCTCGCTGATTTGTCTTGGTCTTGCAATCATGTTATTAGCTACTTTTTGCGCGTCATAATGATTTATTTGCAATTATGAAGATTCAAATTTTTGAAATGACTTTTTCATATGTTACCTGCATTGAGAATATATGTCCAGAAGGCTAGAGGATTTTCTTTTAAGACATGGGTCTGTTATCATTCCCATATAGCCTAGGCTTGCTTGTTCTCAATTTTGTTTTCTTTATCTTCGCTGTTGACCACAAACTTTGGTCTGATTCTTTGTGTCACAATCAAAATTTTTCTATGTAAGGAATTATAATTTTTTTTTGTTGTTGTTATTGTAGGATCATTTCAAGCAGATCGATTGGGTGATAAATCTCAAATACATTGGTTTGTTCTCAAATCCTCTCTGAACCCTTACCTCCCCTAGAAGGGCCAGAACTCTGCCTGATTGCTATACTGACTCTTTCATTTGACTGTTATGCTCTCTTTGGCAGATCCCACGTATATGATCCGTGCAGTTCCTGCAAATGCTTCAGATAATGTTTACTGTACACTACTTGCACAGAGTGCAGTTCATGGTGCAATGGCAGGGTTCACAGGGTTCACTGTTGGGCCAGTTAACAGTCGACATGCCTACATACCGTTCCAGGTATTGCCATTTATCTGTTAATGTTTTGATCAAAGCATTGTTGTTGTTGCACCTAATTACGGTACATTTTCATTATAAAAATACTAAGGAGTACGTATTTTTTTTGGTATAAGTTCTAGAATGCACCCCTTACTGTCCTCATTAATTATATGTTAAAGTATACTCGTCTGAATGCCTTCTACATTTTTTGTGATAATTTAATATAATAATATATATTGATTGTACAATTGTCTTCCTAGAGAGTAAGGTAATTTGGCACTTTTAAGTAGTAGGATACAAATTTCACATGCCATTGGTGATGTCTGGGTAATTGAAGCATATATGTGCTTTGTGAAATTCCAATATACCTGATGGTTTTCTTACCTCTGATTTATATCTCGGCCTTCTTTTGCAGCGAATTACCGAGAAGCAAAACAAGGTTATAATAACTGACAGGATGTGGGCTAGGCTCTTGTCCTCCACCAACCAGCCAAGTTTTTTGGACCCTGAGACCATTGAAGGATTGAAGAAAGAAGAGCACAAGCAGACATAATAGCTTGAGTAAGAGAAGCTGATGAATTTCCTCAAAGCGAAGAGACTACGTTTTCTGTACATTTCAATATGCCTTGATATCCTGTAAAACATATACCATGAGAGGGTTGTTGAGGATTTTAACTTTTTATGCAATCACTGAGAAAGATCTAAATGAAATCTTGATTGGATGGCGGAAGCTATGACTGTGCTAACACTTCACCATTGGGATTCCTCAAATTTTGAAAACTGCATCAGTCAGTGAGATGTTTTATGTAAACAATTTTGTTTCTGATAATTTTTTTTTAAATAGGTGATTTGTTCTTTGAGATGGCCTTGTATAAAATTGAGACAGTTCCAGTTGTGCTTTGCAGATTCTTTTTAACCCATAATTTGTTCATAGTGCCAACTTTTGCATAAAAAATATGGAATTTTTACATATATGCCCCTTATTCACTCCTTGCCTGTGCCAACTGTTGAACAAGCATTGAAATTTTACACTGCATTATTCCTTGAGCCTTTCAGTGTGTAATATCAAGAATGATAATCAATTAAAAAACTTATTAATACCACCAAAAGTTCCACCACAACTCCACTAGTATCTGAAATTCAAGCAACTCTCCAAAATGTCAGCAAAGTTGTATCATCACAAAAATTCCAAGTTCTACAACACCTTTTTATGTACCACAAAAACTTGAGATTTGATTGTTTTATTGATCCCTGAAATCAACTATAAGTCTCTTTTCATTCAATTATTGAGATAGACAAAGTGTTGACGGAGATAGAGAAGGCAAAGGCATCAACAAAGTCATGATGTTAAACAACTCATAGGGCTCTAATATTTTATATTAGCAGTATCAATCGGCAAAATCGCACGTGTATTTCAATTCAATCACGTGCTTGTTCAGTACATGAACGAACCACTCTAGTGAGCTTCGAGCCTTCGTCCTTAACTAGAGGTAAAATTGTATATACATGAGCACATCTAATAATCTATCTATGTCATATTTACATTATATCAGATTCTTACACAACAATACAACATAATATAAAACAATGTTACATATGCTTTATAAGATGCCAAAAAAGGAGAAAATTTATGGTTTCTCTTCTCAAGGACTGAATACTTTATCAATGACTTCTTTCAGGTTCTTGCATCCCACTACCTGTAACCCTTCAAAGCCGAGAGCTGCTATGGCCTTTTCAGCCGACTTTGGAACAATGCAGGTTTTATATCCAAGTTTAGCCAAAGTATTAATCCTTTTTTCAATTCTCGAAACCTGCAAAGAAGTTTTTGGTCAAAATATAGACCAACATAACATTCTAAGTCAAGAAGGGGGTGTGAATAAACAACAGACAATAAAAAAAAATAAAAATAAAGGCTTATAACAAACAGTGTTCAAATGGTCATAGAGAAATTCAGAAATAGATTGTGAGATTATGTCACTTCCCGAATAGGGCAAGCATTTTTAATAAATTGTTGGAAATTTACTTCACTTGCATATTATTTTGGCAAAGATTTGATTTGTCAAGAGCTCACTATATATGGGGCATACTTACCATTCGAAGTTCACCACCAAGGCCAATTTCTCCAATAAATGCTACATTATTTGGTAGAGGGAACTCCAGAAGACTGAAGAAGGCAAATGTAGATATGTTACTTCGAATATGATAATATAGAAAGAAAAGGATAACTATAGTGTGAACAATATACACATTACAGAACTCACAAGGCATATATCACCAATTAAAAACTAAGACTCCTCACCAAGATGACAAGAAATAAAAAACTCTGGAAAGAATATGAAAAGGCTGGACAACTTAAGTCTCTAAAAGTGAAGTGGAGAACCTAGAGAAATGGTTGGAAAGTGCACAGTATCAGGATATCAGTACACTACTGCGGTTATATTAATCCTAGTAACATAATTTATTTCTAAATGCCAGAAAATTTAGTGAGATAAATGAGCCAGCAAAAAAGGAAAACATGCCTGCTGCAAATTGCCACTGCCACAGCAAGATCTCCTGCAGTTTCAGTGAGAGATACTCCACTAACAACATTAAGAAAAACACTCTACAAAAGAGAAGTTACATTAGCATATAGCATATACAGAGATGAAATTCCAACAGGCTACAATTACAATGAACTTAGATAAAAAAAACAAAAATGAATTATAACAAAACTATATCAACCAGAGTACCAGACTCTAGCTTGGAAATGAGTTCCACAACCAGCACATAGTAAAATCAGCAATACATTAATCATCAGGTACAGTAAGCTATATTAGCATCATGCATGTTCTTTAACATGGAACGATGGATTGTACAAATTTAGAAACAATTAAATTGGACATCATGTGCTCATTGTTCTGTATCCACTGTCACTGATGAGCAAGCATAAAAAAAGTCTTTTAACAGTATGAGGTAATACAGGTTATTTATCTGACTAACACCCTGTTTTTGACTTTTCTCTGATCCTTGTTAGTCTAGTGGTTTTCTAATTATACATTGGGATTGATACTATTTGTTAAAAAATATAAAACTCTTAACAAGTCTCTTTGGTAGTTCATGAGTCTAGTGTACATATAGTATGAACAGGGTGCTTCCTGAAATGCTTTTGACTTGAAGATCAGCTGCTCAACGTACGTATAGGCTTTTAGGCTACATTCCCTAATCGAGGAGAGGAATCCCTTGCAAGAAACCAGAAATCTAAAGACGCATTGTAATATTTTCAAATATACATATTGCTGATAGCCTAAAGATTTTTGGCATTTGGAGATGATAATAAAGGAAAAGAAGGGAAACAGTGCTTTAGGTTGTTCGGTTTAATTTGTATTGAAATAGAGAGTATTTCTTTGTTTGGTTCAAAAATTATAATAAGAGTTTGAAAATAAAAAGAGAAATTCTCTTTAGTGAACTCCAACTTTTTAATTTTCTAAGTGGTAAACGTTTTTAAATTTTATTATTAATAGTAAACCTAAATTATTTATTACTATTGATAAATGTTATTTCCTTAACTATAGTTAGTTTTATATAATTTTTAATTATATTAAAATAAAATAAAAAACCTACCCCTCCCCCAACCCACTGCCAGCCCCCTCCCTCAACCCAGCCCCATCCCGGCGGCCGGAAACCGGCGACCCTCCCCCTAGCGCCGGCGACCCCTACCTCCTCCATCTCCTCCACCTACAACACCTCCACTCTCCATGTCAGAATCGGCCCCCTTCCCCTCCCGCCACCGCAAAACCCCATGACCAACCCCCATCTCGTCGGCAAACGGCCGGCCGTCTCCCCTATCCCCCGAAAACGGCCGGCTAGCCACTCCTAACTCCAAAAACCACCCCTAACCGACCCACTTCATCCCCATAAACCACCCACTCTCCCTTGAAAATAACCTCCCACCACCGCAAAACCCAAACCCGTTTCCCCGACACCACTCTCTCCCTCTCCCTGTCGGAATCGACCCCCTCTCCTGACCCCCACCCCGATTCGACCCTCCTTCCCTTCGCCCCAGAACCCTAATACCGACCCTAACCACCACCATAAACGAAACCTTGAACCCACTTTGGGTGGTTTCGAAATTTTGATTTAGGGCTTGGGGGTGGGGGTGTTGAGGGTGGAGGGAGGAGATGGGGTTTGTCGGGCCCATAGTAAGGGTCGTCGGTGCCGGGGGAGGGAGGGGAGGATCGCCGGCGGCGCAAGGAGGGGTGGCTGACGGGGAGGGGGTAGTTGGGTTTTTTCTTTATTAAAAAAATATTTCTAAAATAAATCTAAAAATAAAAACTAACTATGGTTAAATATCTAGTTAAAATTTATCATTGATGTTATAGTTGACTTAATATAAAAAAATTTAGGTTCACCATTGATAATAAAATTTTAAAACGTTTACCACTTAGAAAATTAAAAAATTGGAGTTTACCAAAGAGAATTTCCCCCATTAGGGAACTAAAATAGATTAAGTTTCAAGATATTTTTTTTCTTCTGAAAATTCCTTTCCTACCGATTCCTACCTAATAAAAGAAAACTTTTCCATTCTTTACCATCCATTCTTCCCTTTAAAAAAAGCGGCTAGACCAATTCAAAGACGCTGCTGACAGTTGTTCAATGTATGGAACAAAATTCTCCATTGAATTGACCAATTGAAGAAAACCCTAATATTAAGTAATCAGTTAATATAGAACTGATACTCTTAAAAAGATGCTGAAGCCAATGAACAGTTATGTAAAACTATTTATCATGGCTCTACAATTCACCACTAGTACCAATGTTTGATACTCAACACTTTGATATGGATATGAACACTGGACATTTCCTGTATACGAATAAAACATGCATAGTTTCCCTAAAATAAGTCTAATACCTGGGCATATACTCATGTCCAACATCACTAATTGATCAGTTTAACATAGATGCAAAATGAATTAGGCACAAGATCTTTTCACAATATGTAATGAATTATGTTTTGGGACAATGCATGTTCTTGAAACATAATGAACCATTGACAGGATCCAGCTGCATTTTTTATAATTATATAACAGGAAATTATATTCTCCTTTCTGATTGGCATCATCTTAACATTATCCTGCAACCCACTATTCATTATCCAACTATATCATATTAAGTATAATTTATAATTGAGAATTTTATGGATGCAGTATGGCTCCTGACTGAGCTATGGTTGGTTGAAGATATATTTAGCCTTACCCCAACAATTATTTTTTTGATATATATATATTTTAAAAGAAAAAGAGACAGTGAACATGAAAAGAAAATAAAAAGAAGAAAGACTAAATATGAGACTAAGACAATCTATGATGAAATTAACACAAGAGCTACAGCATGAAGCACAAGGATAGTAGTGAAGAGAATGATTACATAGTCTTGCATTTTCAGTCCCGCTTGCTTTTTAAGAACCTGTAAACAAATGATGAAAGCATAAATAGTTCATCCATTGCACTCAATAAAATGAAAACATTCAACTACCCATATGTGTGGTGCTATCAACTTTCTACGCCATTATGTGTGAAACACTCAGTCTTCTACATAAATCCTACTTTTATCATGCCTGTCCTAACCAAGTCACAATGAAATTTTTTGATGAAGTTTCCTAATTTATCATCAAATAATAGCTTTTAAAGCAAAGTTAGGCAGATTCTCTAAAACAAACTGATATTATCTTTGGTTAGATTAAGATAGCAGGATTAAAAAAAAAAAAAAAATACACATCTAAGAAACATTCAATTCCTATAATAAGTAATACCAGCATAAATTTGTGATCTGTCGACGAACTAGTAACAGTTGTTATTTATGCATTAAACCCTGTTATTTAGAAGATAAAATATAGTTCTTTCCTAAATTAATGCTTCACTGAAGCATTTTTCAACAACGATACAGTAAACTAAATTGTATTAATCCAACTGTGAAAGTAACGTATGTTAAACACTACCCTAGGGCCTAGGGGTACAGATTCCAATAATTTTCAAGTACAAAGTCTTGAGGTTCACGGTAATAGTCAAAAGCTTTTTAGGGAACTCATCGTGATATTTTCACAGACCATTCTGTAACAGCTATAGCCAAACAAAATCCAGGATATTCAACACTTGATGGAAATATGGACCTGTGGTCCAACGTTTAATTAGTTACCCCTTCTCTTAATTTCACTGTCCAAAAAATTTAAAAAATTGAAGCTTTTCTTGATTCAATACATCACTAACAACTGCCAAAGAATATCAAGCAACAAGCTAACACCATCATGATGATGATTGGATAAAACAAATACTTCCTCCGTTTTAATTTCTAGTTTGCTTGCCTTTTCACGGTCTCTAATGCATAACTTTGATTATTAATTCTTTAACTATGTATATTACTATATTAAGAAAGTTGATATTATCAACTTAAATAGATTTGAGAGCAATCGTCAAAATTTCCAAAGTTTGACACCCAAAAGGCAAATGTTGCAAGTAGCAGGGGATAGTTATTCTAACCATTAATCAACGTACCATAACAAATAACTATATTACTATCAAAGGAAAGATACCCAGGAACTAGACATGCATTGAAGCAGCAAGTGAAGAATAAAATTGCTGTTAACAGATATAAAGTTAAGGAAGATCTCAACCAAAAGACATACTGAAATAATCATATCAGCTCTGTTTGTCGGAACCCCATTAAGATGCTTGCCAATAGAGTCGGCTACACATAATGCCTGTACGTAGAAGTGACATAAGAGTGTTGCAAAACCAAGACAAACATATACCAGGCGACAGAAAATCAATTAGTCGATGTCAGGAGGATAACTCAAGATGCTACTTTGTCTTGATCCAGTTGGTTATCTCTACTTTATAACTAAGTTATAAGTCCGGTGTTTCTAATTAAGAAAATTACATAGAAGCCTTGCAATTAACACTTAGGCTATCCTATTGGTTATATGAAAAGAGACACTTATAAAAAGGAACTGTAAGACCACTGGACGAAACTCTGAAGAAGACAAAAATGGTGATCAGCAAAGTGCATGATTGTGGGGGAAGACATCGGTTTGAATACTATTTTGTGGTACAAACACAAAACACTTTCATCAGATTCACATGGGAACTCTATCTAGTATCTAGCATAGTTCATTACCTAGTTTGACTTAGACTAGTATATTTTCTTGTCTTTTTGAAAGAGGATTAAAGTAGTATTACGGCTTTAGGTGAATGGAAGGCGCGGGGAGGGGGGGGGGGGGGGAGTGGTACAGCTTGTAGGGATAATATTCTTATAGCAAGATTTATACCTGAACTTCAATAAGAAAAGTTCGAGAGCCATCAATGATTACAGCAACAGCAACTCCAGCTAAATGGTCTGATTCTGAATGCTCCTCACTCATGAACATTTCACTAGGATTCAAAACAGCTTGCAGTCCAGATTCTGCCATTTCAAATACTCCCAGCTGCAAAAAATAAAATAAATAGATACATAAAAAATAAAAAGCAACCAACTCTTATAAATAAAAAAAACAAGGAAAATTTTCTTATTCAACTCAATGAAGAGAAACCAGACACATGAAGTTTAGAGGATCTCCAAAATTTTGGTACTTTGGTGCATCAAATGTGACATGAAGACCAATAAGACTAAAAGACTACAACATCTTTTGTAATATTGGGATTCTCTAATATAAATTGCAGCCTAATATATGGGAACCAACATCAGTCAATGCACAATAGTCTACTAAAATCGAGAGTATTTAAAGGCTGTCAGGTATTGAGTGCAAAATATGGGGATGTCCTTCCTTCTGTTGGTGTTTGGTTCACTTTTTATTCTCTTTCTTTGATTATTTAGAATGAAATTGCCCATTCCCTTCATCTATCTCCCAGACTAGAATCCCCTTGAATTCACCAAAGACAAGTTTCGAGTTTGGGATTGGCAGAGAGTGAAAGTGCTGATGGTGTTTGGAAGAAAGGAAGTGGGCGAACGAAGATGGTGATGGTTGAAGAGGACCATAGAATTATTGGACAGAGATGTTTGTGAATAGAGAAAATCAAACAATTCATTCTCTCACATAAATTAATCATGCTCTTTAACCTATTTACTCATATACCTTTCGTGATTCCTTTTCCAGTATCCCATTCCTAAATATGAACCAAACGTAACCTTACAACATACGTGCTTCTTTCATGTCACTTCCAGGACAAAATGGATAAAAAGAGAAAAAACTGTACTGGAGAAAGTGAAGGTTTTGTATTGATTCTTCGAAGGGTTTAAAAACCCATATGATTGGGCGACAACCTTTTCAAAAAAAAAAAAAAAAATATATATATATATATATATATATATATATATATATATATATATATATATATATATTTATAAACTTTAAACCACATTCTCAATTAAGGATCAATCTAGATTTCACAATGGAGCAGCTTAATGCGGATCTAAGCATAAGGTTAAAAGAAAAGGTAACTACCACAAGTAGAAACACCAAGAAGCCCCTGAATAATATTCCAAAAAATTAGGAAATAATCAGATTGCAATCAGATTTGAGAGCATAAGTATCTCAGGTAGGGCATAATCAAGAGTGAGATAATATTATAATACCTCATCAGTAGACCCAAAGCGGTTTTTCACAGAACGAAGTAAGCGGTAAGTTGAATGCTTTTCCCCCTGAAACTCGGGTGATACAACCACATCATTAGATGCAGAAAAATAGGCTACTGTATTATTTGATGGTATATCACAAAACATAAAATACTCTGCTCTAAGAAGTACTGTCAAACTAGTCACATTTAGAGAAGGCAAAAGCACTTGCATAGTTGCTCTCTCTCTGTAAAATCAGCCTTATACAACATTCTTAATACATTGAATAAGCCTTGAATAACAACATGACACAAGTAAAATCAGCCTCCAGTGACAAATCAGTGTGAAACCTATTAAATCCTTAACAAGTTCCTTAGGCTTGCAAATAGAATAACAATGTAACAGGTGGTGCTGTGCAGGGATCCTTATACATGGTGAATAAGCAAGTTCCAGTTGAAACATGTAGCAAGTGGTGCAATAACACAACCGACAGTGTCATTTAAACTCAGTATTTTAAGGCCTTATACGCTCTAAGTAGATACATTAATTGGACTTTTAAAGTCATGAAACAAGATGTAGATAACTGAATATGTGTTTTATCCCTTGTTCTCAGGGATCAGTATGGGAAGAGAAAGAGAAACAAATACCACGATCAACATATAACTGTCTCATTAAACAAACCTGTGGCAGAAGAAGAATGAAAACGGCAACAAAGATGATAGTACCAGTAATTTTCCATCAAAACGTAATTACACAGGGCAAAAGGTACCTCCATATATAGCACAGTATCTACAATGTGCTCCAAAACACGAGGACCTGCAATGTCTCCAATCTTGTTCACATGCCCAATCTGTCGTAAACAGAAATATAAATATCAGGGAAACAAAAGGACCTGAGGTATTTTCACACAACACGAAAAACAGTTTAAGATGAAGATAGGCTCACTCCAAGCTAGCCAACATTAGCAGCAAGGTCAATCCTGGCCAACATTTGTAATCTGATCAGGGATCTAGTGACTCACACCAGACACCAGGCCCTTTGTTTTCCTGTTTCTAGAGTCTAGACTCTAAGCATGTATCTTACATTATTTCCAGCTTGCATTGCAGTAAAGGACAGGGTAAGCACAAGCTACATTGACTGTAGTCCAGAAACAGGTAAGTCCCACCATGCCCTCAGAGTGAGAGGGGGAAAGGAGAATGTCATGATCAAAAGCAAGAAATCATGGGCTATTTAAGTTCAGAACAGTCTAGCTACTGCAATGCTACCTTTATATAAGTATGTATCGAATAGTTCAAACATTTAAATTATTCAAGTTCAATCATACCACTCTAAAGGAAAACAAAATATAAACATAGATATCAAGGTCTAGAAATGAAAACAGGTGACTGCAATTGGTAAGACAAGAGCTAGATTGCCAGCAGGCTAAACCATTATGCACATGACTGGTAGAGGCTATATCATAGATTGGTAAATGCAATTATTCACATGACAATCAAATTCCCTCCTAAAACAAAGGTCAAAGGCTTTACTTCTTCACATTTCAAAATCCAACAAATTCATACCGTGCAGCTTCATACAGACTACAGGTATTTCAATTATCAAACAGGAGACCTTGAACAAGCATTAATGGTATGTATTTTCATGTCTAGCTTCCAGAAAAATTTGTACTTCCTCCGTCTTTTATTAGATGCATCACTTTCTATATATGGAACTATGGAAGTTTCAATTTAGATGCATCAATTTCCCTTTTAGTCAATAAATATTCTCTATCTCTCTCATATCACATGTGTTCTCTTTATTTTTACTCTATCTCTCTCTACTCTAATTATTGCCCAAGAGTTCGCAATTTTAAAATTGATACATCTAATTAAAAACGAAGTTAGTAGTAGAAATGTCAATAAAAGCTAAAGTTGCTAAGTCATCTCAAAAGAAAAGGACTTGAAACATAAAATAAAAACTAGTGGACAAAAGCTTACTTTGTTAAGATACGGAGTTCACTTCATGGATATTAACCAAGTGAGGAATGTGGGCTTTGATGTTTCCACAATTTCTTTTGATAGATTAAAAAGAAAATGTTTTATACTCCCTTTGTCCCATGATAAAATGCTATGATTCTTTTTTGGGTGTCCCACAATGTTATGTCTATTTTTAATATCTCTATATTTATTTTACATAAGTTTACCATAATACACCTTTTTGTGAATCAGCTTGCTTTTTTTTTTTTTTTTTACCTTCCCCATATTATATGCCCCTACAATTTCCCAAAATTTTGTGTCACTATTTACCTTTTCACCTTCCCCATATAACATACCCATATATCCAAAGATTCACTAAATGTCACCATTTACTTTTTCCATAGGATTAGAAAATACCACTATATTTAAGAATGTTACACACTCCTACCATGATTACTGTGAAAATTAGGAAACATGCACTATATAATGGAACGGAAGGAGTATTCCCCCCACCCCCCACCCCCCTCTTTTGGTAACGGTTTGACTAGGTAAGTGGTTAAAAGGAGATTTAAATATTGTGTAAGTGAGGTTTGTTGGGAATTAAAAAGTAAAAGAGAGGATAATGGGGTACTAGTTTATTAAAAATAAGGGATGTGAGATAAGAGAATTAATAATTACAAAGTAAATGTGGTGACCATCTGAGAAAAGAGATACAATAAAATATAAAAGAGGTACAAAAAAGGAAGTGATGCATTTAAAGAAATAGCAGAGGGAGTATTAAATAAGAGAATTTGCACTAATGAAAAGTGAAACAAAAAGGTATAGACAAAACCCAAAGGTCCCCCAAAAGTATAAATGTAAATTCAGCACATAACCAAATCTGAAAGTGGTGAAGTGGCATGCGAATAAGTGCCCCGCAATCCACAAAGACAGGTTCTCCAGACATGGAATCCCAAAAGACCCTATCGTTTCTTTCCAACCAAACTACCCACATCAGGTGTAAAAGCTAACTCTCACAAAACTTTCACCCTTTCACCTACCCACCAGACATTGAAATTTTGTAATAGACTGGCAAAAGATCCCAAACAGTAGGAGGACTACCTGACCCATCCAGAAAGCAACAAGTAACTTCTTTAAAAAGTAATTGCATACTATTATGCATGAATAGACGAATATCAATGCCCTCATATCACAATATGCATTGTGGACATGACAAGTATCACCGTGCCAAAGGATGATGTTATTACGATCCATACTTACCAGTAGAATAGGGATGCCTGTCTTCTTTGAAAATCGAAGCAATGCTGCCGTACATTCCTTCAACTGTCATCAAAACATTAGTATCAGGAGTCTACCTACAGCTACCCAGAGCAGGTCAAACACTGATGTAACCTTAAGAAATAGTCAACACCTTTAGCAACGCTGAATAAAAACAACAGCATCTTTCTTTCTTTTCTTATTCCTTTTTTTTTGGGGGGGGGGGGGGGAGAGGGTGGAATAATATTTAAGCTTTCAGTTCTAGGCAAGGCAGGAGCACAAACCCTAAAGTTCACAGTGCATTTTAGCATTTCAGTATGAGGTATCAGACACATTTAAACAGCTTTATCAGTTACTAGGTTTTCCTTTTATATATATATAGAAACTTCACATTTTGTTTTACTCAATGATACTAGCATTTATGAAAATTATTGTGTCCACATGCAAAAATAGAGAAACAGCATACTGCCGTACACTCCGCTTTCTAGCTTTAAGATGCCGCCAAACTAGGAAGTGGCAAAGACTACTGAAGTTTCGGAAAAGATAGTTTATTTTGAGTAATAGTAATGACAAGGTGGCAATGAAATTAGGAGAATTTTCCATTAGCATCATAGAGTATTACATGCTTCAACCTCATTCAGGGTCAATTATGGGAAAAACCAGAGGCAGTAGGACAAAAAGAGCAAGAACTTAAACAATCTGGCTATTATCAGCACTTTAGGTACTGGGAACTTGGGAAGTTTCTAAAGCACATTTCTAGCTCAAGCACAGAATTATTAAAGTACACCCAATAAATACCTGTGACATTCCTCCTGGACTTCCCGTCACTCCTTGCAAATATATAGTCTGAACAGAGTCGATGACCACAGCCCGTGGGGAAATAAGTGACACCTTTTTCAAAATATCCTATAAAATGAAGTAAGATCAATCTTTTTGGACTTCATAGCTGTAACCCCAAAAGCAAGGTTAGAAAACACCCACTTTAATAAATGAAAATATATAATACGTACAAGGTTTATGACACAAAATAATACTATCAGAGTCATGAAGTAAACTATAGAGATCATTATTTAAGGCTTTAAACTTAGGGAAATATAAATAAACCTCAACATCAGTGCTTGAATACAGAAACAAGTCCTCTGCATTAATGCTCAGCCGATCTGCTCTGTTTCCAATTTGCTCAATACTCTACAAACAAATAAGCAACATATAATGATTGGTGCAAAAAGAAATAGATATCCTTATAGCAAGATTGATTAACAGTAGCTTATAAGTACTGAAATATTTTATTCTTTCTGTCTAGATTAGTTCATTTAGCTTTCATGAATGTTGTCATCATACTGGGAGCAAGAGTTAAGCTTCGATATAGTAAGTCTCCCTCTTCTTTCCATTTTCCATTCTTGAAACATAAGTATTATAAGCACATAATCATACTATTTTCAGACTTTTCACAGATACTAACCTCTTCACCAGAGATGTAGACCACCGGTGCGCTTTCAGAATTATCAGGACTTTCTGCTATTAAGGCAGCAATCTTCATTTAGAATATAGTTTGTCAGGGAAACTTCAAATATTGTAACCTTCAAGAATAAGAAAAGCAAAGGCGCAAAGCTGTGCCCCCCACAAAAAAAAAAGGGGGAAAGCAAAGCCAAAAACTAAAATAAGGATAGCTAATTTCATCTTCAAAATACCTTACCTGCAATAACAGGGTGCTCTTGCCAATGCCAGGATCACCACCAATCAGAACCAGTGAACCTAGAAAGATAAGATTTGTGACTGCACTACACTTTACACATACTAGCAAAAACAAGGATTATCTCACTCCGAATATCCATTAATATTAAATTGAAGCGAGAGAGGATGAAAACATGGAGACAACGATTGACTCTAGATAAACAAAAAACATATATGTACCATATAGTAGTGTTGCTAATGAAAATCATAGTAAGAGATTAATTTGTGAGCAGAAACAAAGTGCAAAATTTACTCCTAATATAAGACCAAGTTTGAAGATACTTCTGATCTTGCATGTATTCAATAATTTCAGCTCTACAAATTTCAGGCTACCATCTTGACTCTAGAGGTTGGAGTTCCACATCCAATCATTCTTAAAAAAAGCAGTAAGAGCGACGCTTGCTCAATTGATGTATGCATTAAGAATAATTCGGATGTTCTTTAGGTAGACAACAATTAATTAGACAGAGTTAACAGCATTAAGGACATTTTTTTACATGTAACATTTCAGCTCATATGTTGAAACCTTTCTAAAAAAATGATACCCTTTTGCTAATCTCAGTTTCCTAATAGGGCATTCCCCTCCTTTCACAAACCACCTCATTCACAAGGCTCATGACTAATCTCCATTATGAAACTAGTGCACAATTAAAACTCATGAACATATAGAACGAACCGCAATAAAAGACCGCAAAACTAGTCTATATATACCTGGCACAACACCACCACCAATCACTCTAGAAAATTCACCTCCGAATGTACCGTACCTACAAACAAAAATCAAATAGCATAGCCAATGCGCAGCAAGTCAGCAGGAAGCACAAACCCCAAAGCAATCAATTCATGATTTGTAAAAATATCTTTCAATAGGTGTTTTGATTCCAGCATTAACATTATATCAAGCAATAAAAAACTTACAATTGAATCCTCCATTCAGAAGGATTAACACCGCGGTTCACATCCCCCAACCTCACCGGACCACCTTGCCTATCATTCTGCTCAGGCAACCAAGACTTCATTGCATTCTCGGAAACCTCGAACCCGTTAACCTTTCCTCCGTCCACACCTTCTTTCACTACAAACGACTTCAAAGTACCAAATTTTTTGCAAGCATTACAAGCCCCCCACCATTTCGCTTCAGTATGCCCACAATCAGAACATACCCAATACTCCTTACTCTTCCCCTTCTTCCCTTTCACCACATAACCACCCGTAATCGGACCATCCGAGTAATTCGAAACCGAATTCACTCGATTTTCAACCGATTCTTCTTCAGAATCACTCGTTTTTTCAGAATCACTCGTTTTAGGGTTAATTGAATCGGGGCCAAACATGGACCAAACCCTAGCGGGTTCAGAATCTGGGGAATTTGATGGGGTTTCTTCGGTTCGACCATTGAAGGAGAGAAGAGGGGATTCAGGGGACAGTCGACGATTAACTGAGTGAACTAACCGAGAATTCAAAGGAGGTTGAAAATGGCGGGAAAATTGAGGGTTTTGGGGGAAACGAATGTGGAAGACTCTGCAGTTAGTTGGAGGAGAGTGAAAATGGAAGCCATTGAAATTGAGATTGTGAAATTGAGAACGAAGTAAGCGGAAGGTAGCCATGTCTGAAGCTTTCATGCAGCAGATGGAAGAGATAGAAAATGGAAGTTCAGAGGTTTGTATTGTTGAAAGGGGGAAACGCGCGAAACTGCAGAGAGGAGTAAAGTCGTTGGTAACTTATGGTACTACTCCAAAAGTGCAAAGAAAATTAATGATTAGGGTAAGCAAAGATAATTAAGGTTTTTTTTTTGGTGTTTAGTTGTTTACAAAGCCAAAAAGCGGGGGTGAGAATCGATCTCAATATCTCTTAAAATTGGGAAGGAAGCTCTAACCACTTGAGTGATCCCTCATTCTCAGCAAAGAAAATTAAGGGCTTGTTCGGCAAAATATAGTTGTGAAAATAGTTGTTAGCTGTGTAGGTAGCTTTTAGCTGTCAACAAACTGTTACTCTGTTAGCTGTGAAGATAGATAATTTTAGCATGAGTGTTCGGTACAGTAGCGATTGACTAGATGTTATCTATAAAAATCAATATTTTATATATAATACTATAGATTATATTTTCAAAAGCTACCTCTAATTGCAAAAGCTAATATGGGCGTGTTTGGCGCTAGCTTTTGAGTAGCTTTTAGGTAGCTTTTAGTGGTTTGACCAAGTCAAACCACTACTCAACAAAAAATGTGAGTGTTTGGCAAAGTAATGGTTCAAGTAGCTTTTAGTGGTGGAGGTAGCTTTTATTAAAAGCTAGGATTATTAGCTTTTGAAATTAGAGGTAGCTTTTGAAAATTTAATGTATAGTTTTAAATAAAAAATATTGATTCTTAAATGTAACAGCTAGTCAACCACTACTTTACCGAACAATCATACCTAAATTATCTTTTTTCACAGTTAACAGCTTGTTGACAGCTAACAACTATCTCCACAACTCACAGCTATCTCCACAGCTACAAATACCTTCACAACTATATTTGCCGAACATGCCCATTTCTAACTTTTTACAAAAGCTACCTTCACCACTTAAAGCTACTCTAACCACTACTTTGCCAAACACTTATATTTTTTGTTACCTAAAAGCTACTCAAACGCAAGCGTCGAACACGCCCTAAGTGATTATACTTTGTAAAGTTTAAATCGTAATTATTAAATATTTATTTTATAAGTAACTAATTATTTTTATTAATCTAATATCTAAATAGAAGAAGTAGTAGCTACAAGTACCATTTATAAATAAACTAGTTTTTGGCCCAGGCGATGTCCGGGTCATTGTTTGTAAATTAAAAATTATAATAAAATGAAGTGCAATATATTAATGGTTTTATTTAAAAAAAAAACACTTGTTTATTTTTGCTAATATTAGTATACATTAAAATTCATTATTCAATGTGTAGCAACCTAAATTTTATGCTCAGTATTAGATTATTTTTCATTTGCTGTAAAAATTCCATCAATTAAAGTAAACATATATGTAGTTTTTTTAAGAACTAAATAAACCTATCTTGTGGTTAAAAAAAAAAAAAAAAACCTTTAAAATTACTATGGATTTTTTAGTTACATATTTTAAATACATATAATCTATATAAATTGTGAATGAGTAATAGAAGAAATGAAATTAACTTTATTAATTTTGTAATCATATTGTTGGTAAAATATACACATATAAGTTGACAATTAAAATTTTAGAATTTATAAACATGAATAACTCATTTAAATGCAACTTTACTATAAAGTATCATAAGATGTGTCACGAATAACTCATTTAAATAACTGATAATAATTATTTAATATTTTTTTATAAGTAACTAAATTATTCTAATTAATTTAATATCTCTAAATAGAAGTACTAGCTACGAGTACCTTTTACTTCCCTCAAAAAAGCTACGAGTACCTTTTACAAATAAATTTGTTCTGATTCAAGAAATTGAAGCTGTAAAAATAAATCCTTCTGAAGCCATATTAACCTTTATCGAATTTATCCTTAAGAAATTAGACAAGGTATAAAGTTAGGGCGAAGAGTTTCTTGTTTTGTAATCGTGCTTGAAATACTATGTCGATGATTTGCTAATTGTTGGCAATGATCGGTCTGAAATTGACGCTCTGAAAAATCTTCTCTCGATGAAGTTCAAAATGAAAGATCTAGGCAAACTCATATATTTCCTTGGGCTGGAATTCTGGAAATTGAGCATTCAGCAGCTGGTATTATTATTTCTCAAAAAAAAAAAAAAAAAAAAACAAAAAAAACTTTGGACATGATATCTGAATTTGGAATGTCAAAGTCAAGACCACTGAGAGTACCAATGGACACTCATGTCAAACTTAAAGAGACCCTGGAAGATCCTCTCTCTGATGTAGAAACTGGTGGGAAAGTTGTTGTATTTAACCATTTCCCGGCCAGATATCAACTTCACTCTTCAGGTTCTTGCTCAGTTTCTGCAAGCTTCCACCACAGCTCACATGCAGGCTGCTAAGAGGGTCCTCATGGCTAGAAATTTGTTGCATTCACCAGGAAAAGGTGTTCTCATGGCCACCAAGTCAGGTGCAGTGTTAGCTGCATACTCTTGGGAGATTCACCAATCACATGGAAAGCGAAGAAGCAACAAGTAGTAGCTCGATCTTCAGCGAAAGCTGAGTATAGGGCAATGGCCATCACCGCATGTGAAGTCACTTAGCTGGCATCTCTGTTAAAAGACTTGGGTCACCTTGGCTCAACTGTGTTGAAGTGTGATAACGAGGTTGCCATTTCCATTGCCTCTAACCCGGTCTTTCACGAAAAGACAAAGTATGTTGAAATTGATCAGCATTTTGTTAGGGATAAGGAGCAATCCGGTGTAATTGCTCCTGCCTACCTATGTATCAAGCTCCGAACAATTGGCTAACATCCTTACTAAGATTTTGCCAATTACTCAGCATGAACATATTCTGTCCGAGATTGGAGTTGCCAGTTCACCACTCTAATCTTGAGGGGGAGTGATGAAGGGAAATAATATGCTACTACCTGTCTACCTATTCTTGTACTGTTTTCCTCTGTTATTTTCTTATGTGTGTTGTGTTGCCAGTCTTGCCACCACCCATTTCATGAGAGTGTTGTTAATCTTATTATTCTCTGAATGGTCTGCTGTCCTTTTTTTTTGGTTATTTCCACTTTTGGGCACCCTAAAATTTATATTTCAGTTATTTTTTAACCAAGTTGAAAATAGACTGAAAATCCTGCACTCTTTGGCACAAAATAGCAAGTTTGGACATTAATTTTTGGCTCGAACTTAGGCCCAACTTTTTTAACGTGCCCCGTGGTCAGGTCTAATAATATTGATAGTTCAACGAGTCAATATTAATGTCGACTTTAAGAGTTTACAAAAGCAACAATTTCAAATCAAATGATGTACACATGCTAGTTTTCTCTAGCTTGGTTTTAAAATAAACCTGATCTCAATAACACCAAAAACAAATTAATGAAAAATATTATGACAATCAATAAACATAATAAGAGACATGAAATAAACTACAGATAACATTGTTTAAACTTAAGGGAAATACAGATAAACCTCAACATCAGTGCTTGAATACAGAAACTAGTCCACTGCATTAAAATTCAGTCGATATGCTCTGTTTCCGATTTGTTCAATACTCTACAAACAAAATTGCAACATATAATTAATTGGTGCGAACTAAAAGTTTTTCAAGATTTAAAAGAAAACAAGATTGAGATTTTTAGATGTTTTATTCTCTTTGTCTAGATTAGTTTATTTGGCTTTCATGAAAGTCATCATCATGCTGGGAGAGAAAGATTATGCTCAGCTAGGATGTCATAAGTCTCCCTCTTCTTTCCATTTTCCATTCATGAACTAGTATTATAGTCGGTTTCAAAAAAAAAAAAAAAAAAAAAAAAAAAAAAAAAAAAAAAAACCTAGTATTATAGTCTATAGTTCTATACACAAAATCAGGTTGTTTTCACAGACACTAACCTCTAACCTCTTCACCAGAGATGAAGACCACCGGTGCACTTTCAGAAATATCAAGACTTTCTGCTATTACGGCTGCAATCTTCATTTAGAACATAACTTGTCAGGAAAAGATAGAATATTGCAACCTTTGAGAAGCAAAGCCAATAAGGAAAAAAAATTAAATAACAAAAAAAAAAGAGAGAAGAAACTTATACAACCACAAAGAAAATGTAGAGTATGATAAACCCCCTTCCCCAAGTCCTCCTTACCCAGTGCTTAATATTTCACTTTGAAGGTGGGGGTGGATGAGATTTGAACCCGACCTTTGTGTCACGTTGGCTTGAAAATCATGTTATAGGATTAATTGGTTGAAGCCTAGAATTAGTTTATATACTCAATTATACATATACTTGCAAAAAGTTTGATTATCTCACTCCATATATCCACCAAAATTAAATGGAAACAAAAGAGGATTAAAACACAGAAGGCTTGTTTGGTAAATGGCTTTTCATTGGCTTTTGGCTTTTTCATTTGGTCAAACATCCAAGATTTGTGTTTGGTAAATGGCTTTTTCAGCCAGCTGAAAATATGGCTTCAAAGCCAAAATGAAAAGCTACTCCAAGTAGCTTTTGGCTTTTGGCTTTTGGCTACCTGCTACTATTAACATCCAACAACCAATTTTACCAAACATGTTTTTAGACTAATAAAAAGTCAAACAACCAACAAAAAAGCCAATACAAACAGCCAGTCAAACCAGCCAATCAAACCAGCCGACACCAGCAACCAATTGCCAAACAAGGCTAGAGACAACTATTGACTTAATTAACAAAAATTTATGTACCATTTAGTAGTGATCATTGTGATAGATTATATTTGTAAGCAGAAACAAAGTGCAACATCTACTCCTGATATAAGACCAAGTTAGATGATATAGCTAAACTTTCATGCATTCAACAAAGGAAAATTTGTAAATTACCACAAAAAAAAAGAGGTCCTGTTTTGATATTGCCACCCATTAAAAAATTTATTTTAAATTACCACCCATTAAATTTGAACAATTTTCAGATTACCACCTTTTTTGGATTTCCGGTGGAAATTCCGTTCGAGGGCCCCACATAACGGCTATAAACGGCTAATTTCACTATTTTGACTCGCTCTCTCCCCGATTTATGTTGTTTAAAAATTGTACAACTTCAAGTCACAAATTTTGGCCCAAATTTCATTCAAAATTCCTCAAATTTCAACTGCTACTGTGAGAAGAAGTTATCTACTGAAGATTGTACACTCAATTTGCATCAAAGGTATGATTCCGCTACTTCATAATTTAGAGTTTTTACGCCAATTTAGGAATTAGGGTTCATGAGTCAATTAAATTGGGGTTTTTTGCAATTAGGCTATCTGTTTGCAATTAATTGTGCGATTTTGTAAGAATTCTGCTAATTGGAGTTGATGTTGTCCAAATTTGTTGAATGATTGTTTACTATGTTGAATAATTGTATCTTATGTGTTGTGTTTTGCGATTGAAAGAATTGAATGATTCATAGTTACATGAAGTTGTAAGCTTGCTCTTTTTCTTTTTTTGTTTTTGGATTTTGTTTTGCAGAAATGGAGTCGCCATTGACATTAGCAATTGACGGGATCTTCAACTATATGCTTCTGGTCCTAGAGAACACTTCGAGATGGCGCAATCAACAGTACATGCAAGTACAACCAAAGCATTCAATTTGTAGAAAAAAAGTAGAGTTAGGGTTTTGATTCAATCCTAAATGGGTAGTTGAGAATTTGACAGAGAATTAAAGGAAGAAAGAGGGAAAAAATTGATGATTTTGGAAGAATTAAGTGAAGGAATTGAGGAGAGATGAAGTTTTTAGTGTTTAATGTAACAGTCAAAATAGGTCGAAGAAAAGAAGAAAAAAAAGGAGGGAAGTTAATAAGGTGGGCCCACAATCGGAAATTCCACCGGAAAACATAAAAAGGTGGTAATATGAAAATTGTTTAAATTTAATGGGTGGTTATTTAAAATAAAAGTTTTAATGGGTGGTAATTTCAAATTAGGACCCCTTTGGTGATTTACTAATTTTCCTTCAACAAATTCAACTCCACACATTGCAGGCTACCATATTGACTCTAAAGGCTAGAGTTCCACATCCAATCATCTCTACAAAAACATCAAGGGCCACATGTGCTCACATTATGTTTTATTAGAAATAAGGCCAAATGTTCCCTACATAAGTTAGATGATGATCAAGTAGACAGCCACAAGTTAACAACTTCAAGGACACAAAAACCTGTTCCAAATGTGGTGTTTCAGCTCATATATTCATAGGTCTTTCAAAAAAAAAACTGATAGCTTTTTCTAAATCTCAGTCTCCTTACTATAGGGTATCACCCTCCTTTCACAAACCGTCTCATTCACCAGCCCATGACTAATCTCGATTATAATAATACAGCAGGATCAAAACTAGTGAACATATCGAATAAAACACAACGACAGATCGTAAAACCAGTCTATATACCTGGCACAACAGCAATCACTATCAAATAACATACACAATGCTCGGCAGGAAAAACAGACCACTCGTCCACTCTACATTCTTATAAACCACAAAGCAATCAATTCATGAATCTTTTAAAATTGCTTTCAATGGGGGTTTTGAGGGTTTGGCAATGCATAGATATATGAATGAATTTCAGCAATATCAGTTAAACAAACATTTAAAAACTTACAATTGAATCCTCCATCACCTTGCCTAGAACTCTGCTCAGGCAACCGAGACTTCATTGCGTTCTCGGAAACCTCGAACCCATTAACCTTTCCTCCATCCACACCTTCTTTCACTACAACCAGCTTGTACGTCTTAATATTCTTGCAAGCATGACAAAACCCCCACCATTTTGCTTCAGTATGCCCACATTCAGAACATACCCAATACTTCTTACCCTCCTCTTTCTTCCCTTTCCCCTTTGAACCACCCGTAATCGGACCATTCGAGTGATTCGGAACCGAATTCAATCGATTTTTAACTGATTCTTCATCAGAATCACTCGTTTTAGGGTTAATTAAGTCCGGACCAAACATGGACAAAACCCTAGGTTTTTGATCGAAAATGGGTTTAGAATCTGGAGAATTTGATGGGGTTTCTTCGCTTCGGCCATTGACGGCGAGAACAGGAGATTCAGGGGATAGTCGACGGTTAAGCGAGTGAATTAAACGAGAATTCAAAGGAGGTTGAAAATGGCGGGAAAATTGAGGGTTTTGAGGAAAACGATTGTGGAAGATTTTGCAGTTAGTTGGAGGAGAGAGAAAATGGAAGCCATTGAGTTTGAGATTGTGAAATTGAGAACGAAGTAAGCGGAAAGTAGCCATGTCTGAAACTTTCATGCAGAAGAAAGAGAGAGAAAATGGAGGTTTAGAGGTGACTATAGGTTTGTGTAGTTGTAGACGTTGAAAGGGGAAACGCGCGAAACTGCAGACAGGAGTTAGGTCGTTAGTAACTCTTTTTTTGTTTTTTTGTTTTTTTGTTTTTTTTGTCCATTTGGTTCACTTTTTGGACCAATCATCACTACATCAATAGTTATTTACTCCCTCCGTCCCCTTTTGATAATCTATTATGGACATTTTTCACGGAAATTAATAAACATAAATAAAAATAGTTAAAGTACATCGAAACAGTAAATTGACATTGGATATGCAAAAAAATAGAGAAGGAAAGTAATAAAAGTACATTTTTTTTTTTGAAATTGCTACCCACCTATTGTGGATGGGTAAGTAATAAAAGTACATGGGGAAACAAAATTTACATGGAAAAGTTAAATTTGCACAAATATTGTTGCAAATTGGAGGGAATATTGGTAAAAATTTAATATTAATGGTTGTTGGAATAAACAAATGGGATGAACATTTTGGGACTAAAATTTGTCCATAAGGGACTACCAAAAGGGGATGGAGGGAGCAGTTGTTAGTAATTTATGCAACTATACTTTGTAAAATTTAGATGTTAACTACTTTGTATGTAATTTCTTTTATTAGTGATAAAATTTCTATAATTAATCGGTCCGTTTATCTAATTTAACATGTTTAAATTGCGTGTCATGGTAGTGTACTGTAAGTAAATAAAATTTGAATAATAAATCTAGTGTGAGGTAGGTGATTGTTAATTTAATTGTAATTGGTCCGTTTATCTAATTTAACATGTGTTAAATTGCGTGTCATAGTAGTGTATTGTAAGTAAATAAAATTTGAATAATAAGTCTAGTGTAAGGTAGGTGATTGTTAATTTAATTGTAATTGGTCCTTTTATCTAATTTAACATGTGTTAAATTGCGTGTCATAGAGTGTATTGTAAGTAAATAAAATTTGAATAATAAATCTAGTGTAAGGTAGGTGATTGTTAATTTAATTGTAATTGGTCCATTTATCTAATTTAACATGTGTTAAATGCGTGTCATAGTTGTGTATTGTAAGTAAATAAAATTTGAATAATAAATCTAGTGTAACTAAGGCAGGTGAATGTTAATTTAATTGTAAGACGGTCAATTTGAGGGTAACTTTAACTATTTTAATGGTAACCTTAACTTTTAATTTGTCATTGGTTTGAATTTTATTTTAATGTGCAATTTGTTATAAATTCGTGATTATTACATACTTTAAAGATTTAAAACTTATATGATTAATATAATACATTACAGTTTTTTATTTATTTATTTATTTATTTTAAATATTTTGAAGGTAACTTGAACTCGTTTTACAATCTATAACTATTACTAAAATAACAATCGCTAACATCATTCATTTATCCAAATTGTACACATGCCAGCTTATCCTTCAATTTTTCTCGCCTAAATTGTTTTTTTTTTTTATTTATTTATTTTATTTCTCTTTCACATTTTTGATGAAAACTTAATATTGACTACTATACATTAAACTCTTCAAAATTTTTGTAGATAGACCTTTTGACAACCCTTTACCTAATGAAACATTATTTTATGCTTTTTTTATTTTTATTTTATTTTATTACGGAGTATTGTTTTATATAGTTCTTTTTTTTCATTATATCTGTGCATTGCATGAGAGCTAATCTAGTAAATTAGCGTACACCTGCCTTTTTAGAGAATTTGTGAAAAGTGAAACCATATTAACCTTCGTAAAGTTTACGAATTTTTCACCAAATGTCCTTGACCTTTTGAAAAATTCACCAAATACCTTCAAGTTTTTCAAAATTCGCCAAATACCACTGACGTTTGTTACTATTCACACCGTGACCTCAAAATATCCATGACGTTAAAGGTCCATTACCAATAAAATTTAATTTATCAAATGCCCTAAATTTGTTAAATAACTACACAAAATACCTCTATTTTTGGAGGTACAATAATGTCTAGTTTGAAAGTTAAGAAAACTAGCCGTTAGTTTTGATTCTCACCCTTTTTCTGCATACATACTCAACACATACCAGCTATCTTATATGCTTTACCACAACTTTCAAAATTATGAGTTATATGTCTAGCTCATCCTCCTCAATGTATGAGCACTCTTTGTAAGAATTGCAAACACATCTTGTAGTTGTAGGAGAAATTCACAATAAGAAGTTCTGAGTCCATTAGTTTGCGAACAAGCCCGAACCGTTTACTAGTGTAGGTATGGATTAATTGTCAAGCCGCGTAAAAGGGGCTTGAGTTTGCCATATTAAGCTCATTGGACAAAATATGAACTATAAGCCCGATCCGTTTTCCGCCCAAGCCTGTATAGCCGTAAGTAATCACCTCTACTTCATTTGACCCTCTTTTTCTTAGTTAGCAAGGTCTCCAACACTTCTTTTGTGAACAGAGGAGGCTTGCAACTCATACACAAAAGTACTCTAGTCTTACCTTAAGAGGTTAATTTAGATTTATAACTCACGGTGTTAAAATTTGTGGTTAAGCAAATAAGAGGGCTGCTATGTATCGAGTATTTATGTAAACAAAGGGGGAGAATCAAAACTAGTCACTAATGACTAGTTTTCTTAAATTTTAAATTAGACATTGTACCTCCAAAAATAAGGGTATTTTGTGTAATTTGAGGTCACGATGTGAATATCAACAAACATCAGTGGTATTTGATGAATTTCGAAAAACTTGAAGGTATTTGATAAATTTTTCAAAAGGACAAGGGTATTTGGCGAAAAAACCGTAAATTTATCCCTAAACAATTAGGTTATCGCAATTTGGTTAAACTGTTAAAGTTATCAAATAGTGTTGTAGAGTTTCTTGGTTTGGATCCGTAACAATCTAATAAAACAAAAACTTTTGTATGCCTTCGGTTTACAATAATTTTACTGCACATCGAACATTTTGCGAAAAGTGACCCTTTTTCGTACAAAAGTGACCCTTTTTTTTCACAAAGTGACCCCTTTTTCCACAAAAATGACCCATTTTTTTTCCATAAAAGTATTTTTTTTTCACAAAAGTGACCCTTTTTATTCACAAAAGTGACTTTTTTTTTTCCCAAAAGTGATCCTTTTTTTCACAAAAAAGGCACTTATTCAAGCTCATCTACTTTCATAAAGAGATTTATAAGATTGTTGAATGCCTATACTTCATCTCATCCATTTTATCAGAAAGAGCCAATACTTTCAGTCATCTTTCCAGTAAAGTAACAATTCAAAGAGCTCCATATGAAGCCTTTTTTCACTTCAGAAGGAAGACTATCAAAAGTACTTCTCTGCTTTGCAAATACCCTTAGCTTTACAGAGTACGACATACCAATAGGAAGTGCACTTTAATCACATACGAGATACGACATACCAATGTACCAAGATAGTATCAAATTAGCAAGAATGCTTAAATTTGTCCTTCTCCATCCATTCAAGGATCGGTATGAAGCAAGATCACAAGATTCAATCATAAAAGAAAATGATTTGCAGCAAAAAAAAAGAAGAGGAGAGAACAGGAAAGTAAGAGTAGAGAAAGAAACCGAAAGAAGAAAGCACTCAAAGAAGACCCAGAAAATGAGAAAAAAAAAAAAAAAGGAAGAAGGTGCGAGCAACGAGCCGTTAATAAATTTTTGTGCTAAAAAAATGCCCGTGCTTCCTTGGTTAAAAAAGAAATTCTACGGAGTAGAATTTAATTTTATCCTAAATTATTAATGATTTGCTAATTTAATGTTAAAAAGATGTGGTTTCTAATTGGCTACCATTGTGTCAAAAAAAAAAAAAAATGGCTACCATACCAAAATATCAACCTAATTGATAAAGTTTTGGAAATATTGTCAATTGATCGACTTCACTAAATTAGTGGTAAGTGCAAAGCCTTGCGGAACAAGTCAAATACAAGCTTTAAGAATCCTAATAAAGAATCCTAATAACACGAGACTAGGAAACAAGATATGAACAAAACTATTTGTTTCCTAAACACAACAAAACTTCCTTAAATATCGTATTCTCACTAATCTTATCTTTGAGCACAGGAAGAAAAGAGTGAACATCTTATGGAGGAATACTGATGATAATTATTAATAACACACAATTCTTATTAGTGGGTAGCTAGATTTTTCCAGTTTGTCAATGGAGGAAAAGGTTGAGCATCTTAGCCTTTCGTCACTCATAAAAACACCGTGCCTTTTGTAAACACATGAATCTAACAACCATGTCCAGATCTTTCTCTCCATGTCGGAGCCATCAGTTGAAGATGACAACAACAGATCTTGTGTCAAAAGTATCCCTCAATTACGAGGCAAATCTATACTTGTTTTTACAATGAATGGTTGTTTCTACGCGATGAATTGAGTAATGAAGCAAACTTTTCTATCTTTAATTTATTTACCTGTAAGACCATAAATCTCCCTCCGTTACAAGATGCACTTCGTAGTAAGCTTTTTAAAGTCAAGTGCACCCTCAAATCACCCCCTGATTGTGATGATTGTGTGTTGGTTTTGTGTTTTTATTTGCGCGAAATTTGCCCAAGTTTTATGTTTTCCTGCCGCCCTTCACACCCTAACCGTACTTGGGTCTCATTACGACCATTCGGGCATAGTGATCTGTTTGTCTATAACAAGGTAATGTACGTCTCTGCTAAATTTTCATATAGGACATTTACTAAAATTGATGATGGTACAAATACACTAACGTTTGAGCAGTCGCGAATTCCTAGTCTAAACTTAAAGACTCTGGATCGTGTCTATCCTGTAGAGTATTTGATTGAATCTTGTCTACGTCTTTACCATATTTCCTTGCATTCAATCTGTGCATTTGACAGTAAAGTTACGGAAGTTAAAGTATTCGAGCTGGATTTAGACGGTACGGAAAAAACTGGAGGCAGATTAATTCTTTGGATGGCAGAGCTTTTTTCCTCGGCCCTAGTTGTTGTAATTGGTGTTGGGGAATTGTATCTACTTTTGTCATCAATCTATAAAAGATCAACAATTTTATACGTACATGTACAACTTACTTGATAATAATTTTATGACACTCCGGCCTTGTTCGAGCTCATTAAGGCCTAGCAGCCACCCTGTATGGCTTATTCCACGACATCAAAGGTTAGTGTTAAACAATAATTGATTAATAGAATCTTGAATTGATGAAATTTTGCTATATATGCTGATGTTTGGATTTTAATTTTTTTTTTCCAGGCTATCAACAGAAAAAGAATTG